TATTAGAATTATCTACTGATATGTTGTGCTGGATAAATAAATCAATCACTACGTTTTGTAGCAAAAACATTTCTCTATCCTTTGAGATGTCTCAGAAGTCAAACGAATGAGCAGAAGCTGAGAGAAATATAAAATACTAAGGACACCCTAAAAACATCACCTTTTGACCAAATATAAATGGTGTATATCTTGCAAACGCTGGCATTTTTCTCTGGCACATCAGAAACATCTAATATTTTGGATTCACTTATGGTTTGACTAGACCTTCGAGTTAAAATAATTAAATCGAAAATCAAAATTTTACCGGCGGCCGAGTTGCTAAGTGGTTACACGGACCCTCTCTTAAAGTTTATAAAAATATTCACTAATAAAGAATGAAAAAAGACCTGATCTCAGTATCATTTCTTAAATTCTACCAGCTGGTAATGATCTACAATTCATTTCCATGGATACATCGCGACGCTTGTCAGGATTCTAGCGAAAAAATTATTTCGAAACGACGTCCCACTCAGGATTTATCAGGACACTGCGATGTATGTTTCCATGTCACATTTCTATATCAGCAGAATTGAATCTAATTTCAGGCTACACGAACAAAACGATGACTAAGCAATATGTTTGTTACGGATACATATAAACTGATTGATCGTATTTCAGAAATGTAGAGCAGTACTTAACTGGGGTGTAATTAAACCACTAGTCCTTGAACATACATCGATAATACTTGGTGACGTGAAAAAAGCATCATTCATGGAGTGATAAGAAAGAAGGATATGCTATTATCGATAGTGATCTATTTTGAATAACAACAAACAAGAAAATTACACTGAAACTAATTATCGCCATAATGACAATAAACATCTTTTCCTTCTGCTATCCTCGTGACAAAAAGTTAAGCTTTAAAAGAAAGTTTATTTTTTGCCGAATCACAGTCTTTTGTACAACCAATCTAATCATCGCATTAGTTTATAACTTGGACATTCTTGTGCACATTTTAATTCAAGTTGTTCTTTATATAACTGCAGCTTTTGGACTTCTTGCAATAAATTATGTTGTTTGAATTCTAATTCACGAACTTGTTTTTCCAAAAGTTGTTTAACATCATGGGATTCTGTTTTATCGTCTCGTCTTGCTTCACATTTTCTCTTAGGTCGCAATTCACGTTTTGTCAGTTTTTTACCGATCAACTTTACACGTTTTGGTTTACGTTCAATCATCTTATTCGAATTCGCCCATTGGGATCCTCGTACGTATGACGGATTAGTTTTCGTAGATAATGCAGACTTCGGTACATGTTGATAATTTTTTATCTGATGATTATGATTTAATAAATCTTTAGCTATGGCATTAGATGTAGATGATATGGTATCATTACTACTTTCATTCGATGATGGTAATGAATGTTCATTTTGCATATCGATGTTTATGATTAATTAATATAAACGTTGAAGTTGATATAAATGTTATGATCCAAAGTTGTTTTTCACTGCGGAGTACTAAACGAAATGAGCTGATTATTCAACAGCGACCAACAAACACGACAATAGGTATCTATGTTTAAGAATAAATCAAAGAGAAAATAACTTTTTATATTCCTCTTTTGCACGTATTCATTCAACTGAAAAAGAATACAATATTGACAGTGTGCATGTTTTAACACATTTATAGCTATCGAGACACATATAAAAAACCGAATCATCGTTGATTCATTTTGGATGATTCTGCATTCGGCTGCTGGCCTGTTTTTTTCTTCGCTTTCATTCGATCGTTGATTTTATATACCTTACGTGATTTAATATTAAGAAAACGCAATGTCTTAATAAAGAATCGAGTCTTTTGTTTCTATCATTTTGCTTTACAACTAATCATACCTTTAATCAAGAAACATACGTAACTTACATGAAAATATTTTCATCGATTAAATAAGTGACCAATACAGTTCTGATTATTAACATAAATCTAATTATCAGAAACAGGTGAAGTTATTTCCTATTGACTTTTTGATGCACGAGTTGATTGACTAGTTCACGTTGAAAAATTATAAGAATTGAGTATTCCGAAAAACACTGTTGAATTAGTAATGTGGTGTAATGACATGTGTATGAATCACTATTCATGGATATCAATTATAAATCGACAGACAGAGTGATTAGTCGAAATAGTTTATCGGCAATCTAGACAGAAAACCTTGAACTAGTGGTTTTTTCTCTATGGATGCATCGGAGTTGATTTTATGGATCCATAAACTGGATCAACACAGCCAATACAAAATTCACAAAACTCTTGTAGTTCCTGTTTATTAAAAGTTCTATTTCAGTCTGTCATGTTTTATATTGCGGTTAAACGACGAAATCATTATTTATCTTACTTGAAAGACATCTCAATTAAATTCGGATGATCTTAAAAGTTCAATAGTAAAATGACAAAAACTTCATTATCTTTCTTTTTTTAAATATTTTGTATTTCATCTTTTCCGTCGAGAATTTTCCTGTTTGTAACAGTTGTATAATCCGACAGGTTGTGCTAAAACATAATGAATAAAATTATTGAACAAAAAAGGATTATAACACTAAACTATTTGATTTAAAAATTGAGGTTTTTATGATGTTCACAAAATAAGATATAATTTGAGTACAAGGCAATTTTCTCTTTCTTTCTTTCTTCACCAAAAGCTAATTGCTTTTTTTTATGTGTAAAGCGAGACTTCTTTTCTTATGATTCAACATGCTTCATTCAACCGTGAACAAAAGAAAAAATTCACCTGTTGAAAAACGATGATTGTCAGTATAGAAAACGTGCAATAAATACTTACAATTTGAATATCTGAATCTGCATGTGTGATAGTTAATGCGTAGTTTAAAATAGTGCGTTAATCGATTTTTTGAATTTAGTAATACAAATATTTTCATTGTTACATTTATGTTTTAACAGATTATTCAAGTTCACACCCAATCATAATGTAGTAACATTCGAATTGTTTGAAACTGGCTGATGAAGTGCATTTCAGATTTTGTGTTTTTGTTATTCATTCATTGGATATGTTGTTTTAAAGCTATCAATAAGTGTAATGGCAACATCACGAAATGTATGAACATATAGTTATATATAATTTCGGTATTTTATCAGATACAATCATTTGCATGAAAATTTGTTTCAAAGTTCTTCAGCATATTCTTCTTCTGTCACATTTATTTGAGTCCTTGGATTCGAATTGACTTTCAAGTTTGATTCCATTTGAAGGAATGTTGAATCGAAAATGAGCAACTGTTTTGGATAATAACGGTATTTTAGTTCCAATTGAAAATAAAGCTATTGCTGCTAATAGATATGCGATAATTTTGACCAGTTATCTTTACAAAATATTCTTCATGCCCCCCCCCTCCCCCCCAAGCAATCAACCGATGGTGTCTTCATCAACTAGAAAACAATTATTTGTATACGTCATTATTCAAACCTGATAGATCTGTGAAATATGTAACCCTGCAAGTGAGATACCGATACCTGAAATGGTCAAAACCCAGTATTTCCTATCGTTTTATGAAAGCCATGAATTATACAGAAAGATGTCAAAGATTTTTCATCGCATCTTGTTATTCATTTTTATAACTATTAAAATCTTCAAAAATAATGTAACTATGTTAAAACAAAATTCATTCCCCGTGTTTTCAAGATTTTTAATAGATTGCCATTGGAAGCTTTGAAGTTTTGTTATTTTTCACCAGCTCTGTTTATTCTTCTTCGTTTGGATTACCATCGTAACAGTAACAAATTGCTTTTTGTTGTCTGCTTTTTATTCTAATATCAAGTCGAATTTAGAAACAAAATATCATATAGGAAATTTCAAAGTGAGCAATATTCTCTTTTCTATCACTAAATAAATATATTTTGAAGATACTAATGAAACTAAATTACGAAAAGTAGAACGAATATTTTCATTTCATCCTTTCGAAACGAATTTCCATAGGTCAATGTCATTTTTATAAACGTCACGGTATATGAACTCATTGATGAGAGAACATATATTACCTGGTAAAACACGCCAATGATTCATTATAGTTGCAATAGTAAAACAAACACTATATTTAGATATATGCGCAATAATCGAATTTTGAAAAATAATGTTATTGATGTTTGTCTTCTGAAGAGAAAAATCGCTGTGTGTAATGAATGGCATATAAAAGCGTTCTTTATACTTGATATATTTTAATACGTAAAATAGTTACGCTCTCTTTTTATTGAGCAACATATTCTGTGTTTTATCTTTGACAACATTAGAGTTCTTTGGTGTGAGTTCTATAGTTTGTTTCGTTGATTACGTCATAACGATACATCAAATCGGTGCGTCGTCGAAGGTTTGCAAGTACAAATATTTATTTATATTGATGCATAAACAGTTGATTCAAATCAGCAATAAATATATTTTTTTTTATATACAATGTTTACTATGCGCATCGTTAGAATGATTGTATTAGTAGCTATTTTGATTCCTATCGGTGTTATGAGCCGTGGTTTGTTCTATATCGGGTGAGCGGTGATTCATATTAATGATTTCTTTTCTCTAGTTTTCGATGATTATAAAAAGATTTGGCGAGATCGATGGTAATCACGTATTGTCTTAATTCGACATGTTGAATCGTAAACGAATCTAAATCCAAGCAAATACTCATTGTTTTTCTTCTCAATTTAACATTAAATCGTACGTCAGCACGCATGGGTCTCCGGCAATTGGTCGAAAGACAATTAGTCGTATTATAGAGTTGGTGAAAATTCTCGAAAATAAAATTACAGAAAAGTTTTTATTAGTGTTACAGAAGCATAACTCAGAGAGATCTAGAAAACAGCTAACAATCTATTCGAAAATCAGGAGCATTAAATATGAATATGAATATCAATGTTTAGCAAATTCTTCTAATTACGTATAAAACATTACATGAGAGCCAGTGATAGTTGCTTTAAAACTTTGCTTAATGCGAATGATTTTTTTCTTATTCAGAGGCCTCCGTCTGCTGCGCTTTTCGCTATTCCGCAATGAATATAGTTTTCATCTTTTCGTAATATTTCGATGAAGCTAAACAGCGAATGCTATCATTCAGTTAATTGCTAAATTAGAAATTATCTATTTTTGATTTCGTTCGATCCAAAGCATCATCCATACAGGTAACTCGAAATGCATTTCAAAAAGAACATTTCTGGTTCTAGATGGTAAAAAAAATTCCACTTTGCTTCATTGATAAAGTTACTTGCACGTCGATAAAGTAATTGTTCGAAAGAATCATAGCTTTTTTTTGTATTAGACAATCGTTTGAGAATCATCTAGTCAAACAATCAAAATTGACAGCCAAGTGACTAGCTAGTCAAAATGCATAATTAATCATTTTCAGCAAAACATACTCATAATAAAACAAAAATTTTCTTGTAGGTAAACATCTAAATCTGTACGAAATTCTTCCAAAAACCAGACATCTCATTGTTTCTATTGCGCACAAGTCAATATTTCACTCACACGTAGGCCGTGACAAACATCTTGGCAACTCTTTCCTTAAAGATATAAATAATAACTGAATCCTATTTCATATATCGATGAAAATCATAGAGAAAACAATTCATATCTCTATACAAGTATATCTTATCCTGTGTATCATAACAATTCATGCTTAACTCGAGTTGATGAAGATGTTTTCCAAGCAAGATAGATAAACTAAGAATCTGGAAATTTAAAAAAACACATCAAAAGAAGCCTATTAGTAAAAGATTTTTAGTTCTTCAAAAATTCTTTTTGTGCACTTGGATCATTCATGTAACATAATAATTTGGTAATGAATGAACGATTCATTCGTATTCTTCGCAATCAGATACCAATCAATGTAGAAAAAAATCAAGCCTGACAACAAATCTTTCTCTGTCATAAATTGCTTTTTTCACGCCTCTCTAAATGATGTTAAAGTAAATAAAGCGTCGATGAGTACCGCCAAAAACAAATATCAATTTCAACGCACATTTCAAATCTAGTGAATTCTTAATTTATTCTTTTTATAGAATTGAATATAGTGAATAGTTGATGATAGGCTAAAAGAAACGAAAAGAAAAGAAAAGAAAAAAGAAGAAAATGTTTCTTGAAATTCATTTCTCAAAACACTAACTTGTGAATTATACAGTTCACTAAATTCGACTAGTTATGAGAGCATGAAGCGTTTCAACTGAATTATATAGGTGTCTGAGTGGTAGTAATATTGAATTAACTAAAAGTGTTACTTAACAAATGTTTTTTGTCGATGTACAATCATATTGGATCGCTGATGTGGAATCTATATTCAATTTAAATCGCGTTTGGCATTCAACCGAGACATTGACAAATAACTCAGCAGCATTTTCGTCGTAAGGATTTTAACTGCGCGCGATAAGAAAATTAGTTATAATTAATTTACAAAAAAATTTCCTTCAATGTTCTGAGTACAGTGGCAATGTTGTCGACGCTTAAAATATTGTGTCATATGTTTATTATTTTGACATGAGTAATACATTTGATATTTTTATTTAAATAATGATTAATTAGAGAAATAATCTCCAATACAAAAAATGATGACGTATGTTGACGGAAAAAAGTGACGATGGGCGACATTGAAAACTTCTCTTTAAAGAATCATAGACTGCATTTAATTCGCTTCGGTTTTTTTCAAATTTCATACCCTCTTCAGACGCGCTCGTTCTTACTTCAATTAGTTTTTTTTGCCTTTAACTATAAGATATCACTATGTTTGGAAATTAGTTTTTTTTATTGGAATCGAAATTTTAATGAGTTTTGACGGAACTATGCAATTGATGATGTGTCTAATTTTGAGAGATCTGTAATTATTTGAAGTTCTTATATAGAAAATCGCTTATACGAAGATTTTCTATCTTTGAACCGTAACATTTTCAAAACAAAAGATGCTGTTTCAATCACAGTAAAAAATACGTATTTCATCGACATACAGTCTCGATTCAAATGTACAAACACCCGAGAAAACCTCGTATCCCACAGAGAGTTGCTGTGAAAAAAACATATTAATCATTGCATTGCTTCTTGAAGTTTTCTTAGTTACTCTCATCGATTGAAAGTATCCAATAGATTACTGTACATTATGTTTAAACTAAAGGTTCATAGATTTCAGAAAGGAAATAAGGAGTTTTTGAACTTATCATTCAAAATTGGAAATATTTTTGTACCGTATAATACACGTCGGGAATCCTCTCAATTACGAGTGGCAGTCATTTTCTACGTGACGTAGATTTATAATTCAAAGACAAAAGAAACTAGTGCAAACTTGCTTTGGCAACCGACTGAAATTATTGGCAAAGTTTTAAAGGAAGAAGAAACAACAACCCATAACAATCAAAAGAAAAATATAGATTCTGTCACGACAATATTGTTTCTGTGCTTTCGCACATTTTCTTTCTCTCTCTCTCTCTCTCTCTCTCTTTTTCGGTCGACTTCGAACACATCCGTCGTGCAAAGTCTGCACTTTTTAATAAATATTTAATGCGTTCGATTTCTTTTATTCGAAGAAAGGAGGCATGCTATATTTCTCGCTGCATTTTTTTCTCTCCTTTTTTTTCTTCTCTCATCTAGTGTTATACACCTATATAGTCAGTAGTTACTGATCAGCTCACTCTTAGTTTGTTCACTTGCTTTTCTATTGATTCAGAATAATAATTGCATTTTCAAAAATAAATAGGTGATTTCATCAAGCACAAATAACTATCATGGGCTTTTCAGAGCGGTTTCCACGTTGGATTACAGGAATTATTGGCATCATTCAGGCAGCATTAACTGCTGGCATTGTGGGTTTGGAATTATGGTCGGCGTATATTGATCTTGCTCACGGTACCATATGGGTAGGATTTTGGGCTGGTCTAATTTTCATTCCAACAGCATTATTGATGCTGTTTATCAGTAAATATATATATATATATTTTTTTTAGTTTCATCATAGACTAATTTTATTAATTTTTTTAAAGCTTGCTGTTGTCGAGGACGTATTTATGGCTTTTATGTTCTTATTCTAACAAGTAAGAAGCAAGAATTAGTTTTCTTGCGGCGTAGTTTAATAAATAAATAAACATATGAATTATTTTTAGTACTGAGTGGCTTATTGGCCTGTGTTGTCATTTATTTTGATCAATATTTCTTGAACAATCTTTGTGCCTGTTATTTGGGCGACCAATTGTGTTGTGCAGTCGGCAGTATTCCATCATTCTCAAGTAATTATTCAAATACTCTTAACACATGTAGTACGTACCAAACAGCAGGTACAATATCTGCTTATACATGTAAAACTACACCAACCAGTAAACTACCGTTACTTAAAGCACAACTTGCTTGTGCTTGTGGTATGCTTGTTGCTTGTGCACTTTACGCTCTTCTTTACATTTTTGCGTGCGTCGGTATTTGTTTTGGTCATTAACAAGGATGGTTTATTTTTTGAAAATAAATGTCTTTATAAAGATTTATCCAGTGATAACCATTGAACTTTATTTTCTTCTTATTTTTCAAATTGTATAATGCATCGCGGATCTGGGTTTTTTATTTTACTGTAAATGTCTACTAGATATGATTGCAAGAGAGTTCGATGCTTTTTCAACTATTTTTTGTACGATAAAATAAAAAAGAGAAATTCGTTATAAAAATGGTTATTTTTATTACATTTAATCGAAATGCAACATTAGCGAGGAACATCAGGAAGCAATATTCTTTGCGTTCTAAAAAAGTTATATAATACGTCAAAGTTTAAGATTGAGAACCTATTTAAATTTTACTTTTTCAGTATATTTATATAATAACCTTACGAATGAAAAATGGCAATGGTTGCTTTTCGGGTTACTTCTTGAAAGAAAAATAATTGAATAAAAGCTTTCAAAGTAGGAACTATACATGAAAATGAAAGTCAGACATGTTTTTTATTTGCCTTTGGTAAAAGCACAAAAGGAAACATTCAGAGAGAAACACATCTGATATATCCTTTCGTATGAATTTACACGTGTATTCTCGAGAGCACGATGATTCTACGAGATTTTTTCTTATAATCAGTAGTTATTTGAAAAAAAGATTTCTTTTCCATATAATGCAACATTTACTCTCTATTTGGGAACATAATGAAATATTTCATATTAGAATAGAGATTCTGTTTTCATCATTCGGTGTGAGCGCCTTTAAACAAAAGGCAACTTTCGCCATCCCGAATAAAAGTTATTGCATTAGGCTTCACATCTTTTCATTTTCTTTTTCTTGATTGTACTTGGTGGTCATTATGAATTTAATTATTGCAAACTTCGTCATATGAAAGAAACAGTTGCCCCATAACAATATATTTCTTATGTACGGCTTCATATTTACGAATGTAGTAATGCATAGGAGAAATGTTTTTTGCATTAATGTTGTTTTTTCTCTGCTGAGCACCCCAATAAAGTATCGATGTTTCGTCATTCTTTTCCTTTTTTTGCAAAGAATAGTATGTCATGTACAATAATTTCATCAGAAATATTTTGCAGCGATCATAAAGAAATGACGGAAGAAAATGTATCGGTGAATGTTGTTGTAAGATCGATCACAAATTTCTATTCATATGCATTCAATTAATTTCTCTACTATACACTAAGATAATTGCTGTGGCCTGCAATAAAATAAACAGCTTATAGTTGAATTGCTTAGTTTTACAATAAGCAAATAATAGTTTCTTTAAAATTCATATTGAGAAAAAGGTTTTTTAATTGTAAATGTATATTATTTTTGTAGCCGATTTGATGAAGCTTTTTTTTATCGTTTACAAGAACTAACCTCTAACAGTTTATTGGCGACAGATGATAAAAGCCTCTTGTACCTTCCGAAAGACAAGAGCAATCGAATTCTGTGACATTTATTCATATTACAAATTGTGTTCTATGTAGCAGAAAAACAAATCTCTAGAATAATATAATGAAATTGAATATTACTTCGAAAAAGGACGCATGCTTGTAAAAACTGGATGGTATAGACTCTTTGAAGTTTTCGTATTCTGTAATGTTTTCGTGGAATAAATTTGAAAAATATATTCATATTAACTTTATTAATTGAAGCTCTGATGGCAGATCTAGGATTTTTTAATATATTCAAAATTTAATGCTATGATTTACTTTGTATGAGTGACATCTGTCTAACAAAAATCCGGACTCGTTTGTTTGTTTCTTAGTTTTTATTCATTCATTCATTCGTTCGTTATCTTCTGTTATATCTATATTTTATCTTTCATACATGATCAAACTGTTTTAAATAAAATTTCCATTAAATTCCCACGATGATATCTATGCCATATACCATATCCATTGATAATACTCGAACAATCGAACCAAAAAATGGCGATGAAAAATATACGGTAAAATATTTTCTTTTTTGTTATTTCATTCAAAATTCTTGTTTTGTTTTTTTGGCACTATAGGTTTATCAAGTGACTGTACGCGGTGGTCCAATTCCTACATTTCATACTATGGATCGTCGCTATCGTGAATTTGAGTCACTACATACACGTTTATCATCAAATATAGCTGTTCCACAATTACCACGAAAAGTTTTATTACATCGTCGTAGTGCAAAATTAGTTGAACAACGACGACAGTTACTAGAAGTTTATCTAAATGACGTACTAAAACGATGTCAACAACAAACGGTCATGCCAGAAGAATTAGGGCGATTTTTACAAATTCCACCGTATGATGATGAAAATCAATTAAATCAAAAAGATCGACTTGAACAAGATTCATATGATGACGAAATGAAAAATGTCCTTGAACATGCACCATGCATTTCTATCAGTGACTATTATCCATGGAATAATGATAATCGAGGTTAGACTTTATTCTTGAGAAGAAATAAATTTTTCAATCGACATATCTATTTTTATTTTAGAGCTTATTGTTGATTCTATAATTTCGGGTTTAATGTGTTCGATGTATGATATGTGATTTTGTTTAAATGATACTTTTTTAAATAAAAAGTGCAATATATATGCATTTGATCAAATGAATTCAATTTTGAAAATGAACACAAACAATTGCGTTTACGATGGTTCAGGCTAAGATTTCTTTTATACTTAGAGAGTTATTGTACTTGCCTTTTCGCATTTAATGTGGTGCAAAGTACAACATTCATTTTTCTTTCTTTCTTTCTTTACTTGATGCATATGCATCCTTTTGCTATTTTCAGACGCAATGATATCGAGAACCGAAAGTTAGAGAAGAGGAAAGTTCTCTAAACTGAATGTTAAAGTGTTCAAATCGAACTTTTAGTATATTTTACTTCAATCCTTAACGTGAGATTCCGCTCGCTCACAAATATCGATCTAAAATGAAGAGTTTGAAAAGATTCCATTGTTTTCGAGCTTTGAAATAATTAATTGTTCAATCGAAATTGTTCTCTATGAATATGTCAATAAGCTTGGATAGAGTTTTCGTAGTGATGAATTCGATTATGGCTGCTTTAGCGATATATGAAATTTCTATCAACAGTTCAGTTGAAATTGTCTCGTCTTCAGAATTCTTAAATACAAAGAAAAGAAAAAATACGAGAAAGTCTTGACTACATAAATGATTATAATCAGCTGTGAAGGTGATCATTCATTTTTGTTATCTTGTTCTCGATTTTTTTCGAAAAAAAAAGCTGCTTGTTTGATCGGCACTATATTTCGAAGTCGAGTGAAACTAGGATACCATCAAGTTCAATCAGGAGCTTCGAACGAAATTTGAGTAAGAGTACTCGATTCCTTATGTTGCATAACAGGATGATTGATATATCGGTTGACAGCAGAGGAAATAAAAAAATCTTGATGCCTACTACAGGGATCGAACCTGTGACCTTCGCTTTACGAGAGCGACGCTCTACCACTGAGCCAAACAGGCACATGGACCGAAAGTTGAGAAAAATCTTCTGATTATTTATACAAAACGAGTATTGATACTAAGAAGTTTACTCCTTTGCTTTCGTCGCTTGCTTTTCGGTGAGTTCAATTACCAAGCTTCATATACAAAGAGAGCGAGCGATCGAAAGAAAATAAAAGAAAGAAGAGAACTACCCTCTAAGTGACCTCCTTTTTGGTAGACATCTATATATATACGTATATGCATAGTTAGTTAAACAGAACGAGTAAAGTTTCATCGATCTATATAACGGAGCTGATAGTAGTGTACAATAGGGAACAGTCCCAAGAGACATGAAACGAATTTTATATCTCCTTGTTGTTTTTCATCTTATATTAGGTAAGTGAAAATTTGCAGCTGTTCTGTTTGTAGTCGAAAAATTTATAAATTTTTCTAGCTGCTGAATCTGTTCGGCATCGTCGACAATACGTAGGATATGGTCCTGTACAGCAATATGCTTCACAACATGGACTTTATGGTCCAGGCGGTCAAGGATGGATGAATAATAATTTAAATAATCGTTTTCCTAATCAACCAGGCTACAATTGGAATAATAATTTTAATTGGAATCAAGGTCACCGACGTCCTGAATGGTATTACAATGCAGCTAATATCAAACAATCTTCTATTGTCTGCCTTTTATTTTGTACATTATATAATCTTATTGTTTGAATAAATGAGAAATAATGCGCGCATTTTCTTGTGTAAACAATGCAAGGCGTTATTACTGTCACACGTTGGATATTAGCAATATGTTTATTTATTGGTGGCATACTTCACATTGATATATTTTCAATTATCTATGTTCTACTTTTTTTAACGATACCTTGGGCGTTTATTCGTTCAACGGTTACTCGTTTACGATTCTTTTTCATTTTAGCTCTGATTGCTTGTATCACCAGTGGTGTTTTTCTCTTGATTATCGGTAGTCTACATATTTTTTCTATGACAAACAAAGGAAAATATATATTTCATATGGAATGTTCTTTAAACATGAGAATTTTACAACACTTCGGATTTATACTATGGACACATACAGCAAACAAAGTCTTATTTGTATCATCACGAATCGTAGACGTGATGATTCTTTGTAAGAAAAATATATTTCTTAATTTCGACAAACAGAGAATTGGATTGACGCATAGGCTTTGGTTTCAATAGTAGACTATAAAAAACACTTGTATTTCTGTTTTGTGGAATTGGCTGATCTTTTGTTAGCGATCGAAAACTATGTAATGCTAACGAATATTACATTAAAATAACATTTTTCATCTGAAATGTTTCATTGATAAATTTTAATGATCATCAAAGAGAATAATGACAAGACATAAAAACAGACTTTATGAAGAATATTAAATTAATGTGGACGGATCCAATGCTTTGAGAACAGATATATTACATATTCAAATTTTAATCGATAGGTAAAAACTAATTTGAGACCAAATATCAAATTCATTTCAAAAATTTCTAACTCTAATAGTTATTAAAAGGAATTATTTGCTTTCTCCATATGAAAAAATAAGCTATTCAAATTTGCCATATTCTCGATTTTTTTCTCAAAATCTTAAACTGTATTTTGAGAGAATTATTTTCTTTTTCATAGGCAGTAGTTTGATTATTCTAATCAATTCTAATCGAGCAGTCAAACAAGAAGATCATCGTAATAAATTATCTAAGTTGTGCGAAAAGACAACACTACAAACAAGATTGTCCAATCATTTTCACTCAGTACCATTGCGTATTCGACCAATATTTATCTATTTTCGTTCTCTTTTATTACTAAGTGTTATTCATTCTTGCGGTTGTCTTGTTCCATCAATATTATCAGCTTTCTATTTTCTTGTATGTCTCGGTCTCGCACTATGGTGGGCATTGGGCAAACATTTTGCACGAGCATACCTATGGATTATCCGTTCATTACAAATATATTCCCTTGCTCATCTTTTAAGTGTCTATGTCTTTCAATTGCCATTCGTTGAACCGTATTTATTAAAAACAAATATACAAATAGTACGACTATTTGGTTTAAGATTCCTATACAAACGCTCATGTTTTACTCATCAAAATGATATAAAACATAATTGGATTGTTTATTTACATCCATTTATTATTCTAACACTTTATTGGATAAGTATTTATGAATATTATCTAACAAGAAAATATCAACAACGACTAAAAGCTTTTCTAATGGAATCGAGCTTAACACAAAATAATTCTCAAATGACATCAATAGAAATATCGACCGAAACAAGACAGCCCGATAGATTTCATTTTCATACAATAACAGATTTATTTTGGCTTGCACCATCCAAAGATATTCTAAATGAAATAAAACTAAATCATTCCGATGAAAATCTTTTCTATAAAACAAATTCTCTTCTTATTGCCTTACTTTCACATATATTAAGTAAAGCATATATACTTTCAGTCATATCAATGCTTCTTTGGTCAATAACTTATCATTCATATTTAACATTAATTTACCTTATTTTAGCTTGTTTTCTTTGGTTATTACCCAATACGAAATATTGGTGTCATTTCTTTTCAATATTCTTTTGTACATATGCATATATCTTGTTAATCATTAATTATATTGATGTATTAAATATAATTCCCGAGGAATTTTTATGGCGAATACAAGACATCGAATTTCTTCATGTAAATGATGAAAATTTAAATGATGTATCAATATCAATATATATCAAGTGTACTATGAAATTTATTTATACGCTTTTACTTTTACTTCCACTTCGACAAAAAACAAAAGAAAGTAATGATTCCTAAAGATTTCATAGTAACTAAAAAATTTGTTTGAACATCAAAGATACTAAGAGAACAACAAACAAACAGTCTGTCTATGAGTAAATACGAATATACAATGAGCTCTTCTTATTTAACGTGAACCCTTACGAACAAAAAAAAAATATCCAGGCAAACAAGGAATCCAGAAAAAGCGTATCAAATGAATCACAAAGGCAATCCGACTTGGTCGATATCTGTAAGGACCTGCAACTTCCTGGCGCTTACCTGTCATCACACGCTTATCGAGAATCTTTTTCTTGACTTGTTCCCGAGTGAAGACGTGCCGAAAAACTTTCCAAATGTTAGAAATAAATTTTTGCCGCATTTCGAAATTTTCTCTCGGCCTGAAATTTGTCAGCTAAGAGGAGAAAATATTTTTTAATATCTTTAGATGTTTCATCTTCTTCAATAAACTTGTATGAACATATTGAATTAATTCCACCAGTTCGTTACGTTTATAAATCACCGATAAATCATTCTGTTTCACGTTTGAATCAAATATTTATCTACATTAAATCTCAATGGTCATCAGTTCACTACGAAATCTATTATCTATTTTACATGGGATATGCTCGTATATGGCTTTTTAATTTATTTTTCCATTGGTCTCGTTTATTGATTATAATTCTTGTCTTTATATTAAGTTCATGTACAGACTCGTTACCAGTTATTTATCGCATTGTTTATATGGGATTTTTTCTTCAATATCATTTATGTTATTCAATAAGTAAAAAATTATGGAATATATATTTATTTCCATTTTATCTAACGCTTGTTATTTATTCAATGATTGTTCTATTTACAATATATATTTATCAATTTGATGACTTGAAAATAATAAAATCAAGCATTTGTTTGACATATATAAGATGTGAATCACTATTATTATCATTGGGCATACGCCATGTAGATAATAATAGATTCATTAGAGGACTGTTTACACCAACAATATTTATTATATGTATTGTTATACATATAAATTTTTTTCATCGGCATAACGCTTTGAATTCGGCAATAAATATGAAAGAAATCTCATCAATTAAAATTTTTCATTTAATTCTATGGTTTGATAATCGATTTAAAAGAGTTCGAAAAATGCTTTGGTGCTTATGTGAATTGTATATTTATAAAATACTGTTATTAATGATATGTTTTTGTTTAAGTACACAAACGAATATATGTTTCACAAACTTTATTCTAGTGTTCATTTTTGTTATTTCGCTTTTTTCTTCTATATTACAAAGTCTTGCGCTTGGTATTTATGCACTTGTGTCAACAATAAATATTTTAATGATTATGATTATACGATCGGAATTATTTTCTTCATTAGGATATATAAATAATGTTTGTTTACCATCATCTTCAAGTAAGCTTTAAATCCTGAACAACTTTTAGACCCGGTTTCGGTAATTCTAGCTATTCAATTGCCTATGCCTACTTAGAGAAAAATCTTGCAAAATTTCTTGATCTCACATCCGTTTTCAATGCTCGTACTTTTTATTTGTTTAGTACAACTGTAACGCAGGTCTACTTCACTGTACTCATTCCTTTTCTTCATCTTCCCGGGACCAGAACTAATTTTGAACATCTCTAATCTCGATTCCTGTTACCTGATGAGACAACTGATTACACAAAGTGATTTACAAAGATCAATTAGTCAAAACTCAATCGTTTATCTATCGATATGCTAAAATGAAACTGTTGAATTAAATCATAGTATCCAAGACGAAATTCAAAAATTTAGAGATTATCAGCGTAGTTTATTTTTCTGTGATTTATTGAAATATTCAGGAATTATTAAACGATGAAAAAATTGAAAGGCAGATTTTAATATGAGGATTTAAAATAATTCATTTTATTTTTAATAGATTCATCTAATTTACCGCATATACATGTAAATGATTCAAAACATTTAATTGCACCACTTCAATGGTTTGGTTTATGGACAATATCTACAATAAATACAACTGTTACTCAATTGATAACACCATGTAAACGTTTCTATGGATAATCTTGTTTAGAATTTTTACTTTAGATTTATGTGTGATACTGGGAGTAGCTGTTCTTCAATTAGTACGCCGTCATAAATCCTTGTCATTAAGTGATTTATTACATAGTACACAAATCTGTCCTTTCCCAAATGTGAATATACAATCAATGAATGATTCAACATGGAATACAATTAAATATCTATGTAATTATGGTTCGTACAGATTTGGCCTTGAATTGACTTTTTTTGCTTCGTTATGTTTAATAATTATTCGGATGGATGCTGTTGCACTTATTCATGCAGTTCTTCTTCTTGTTTGTATTCTTCTACCAAGACAATATGTGAGAAGATTTTGGAAATTATATCGAATATATGCATCAGCATCAGCTGTATGGCTATACTTTAATGTTCTTGGTAAGTAACGAACAGAAAATTTGAAACGTCCTAATCTCTCTTCCAACAGGAAGCGTGTAGATCCTGTTTTTTTGTTGCTCCATACACCACCCGTCAACGAATCGCGGCTATTGATATTTAAAAATTATTCTACTGTATTGAGAGTTCTCTAGTTTCTCTACGAAAAATAATCTCACTTGAAAGTATATCTACTTGATTTCCTTCTACAAACTACGATATACGGTTGATTTTCTTTGAAGTTTACGATAAAGAAAACACATGGCCGGGCACACTTTGAGCGCTATGCTCTCGTAATTCGAACCGAATTTGAAATCCCCATCGCACTCAGTATGTGTAAAAAATGCTTTCGAATCTGTCTCACGCCTAAAAACATTTAAGTGTTGAATATCTTCCTACTCTAATTTATTGAGAATAGATTTTTAACTTCATTTTTTCACTGATAATATTTCCGGAAAAAAATTTCAATGCTGATCTTTATTTAGTATTTTGAGTAAAGAAATATACAAGTGAATTTTTAGAACGTTTAGCTTCGAGAGATATACGTATTTTAATGTCGTGACGCCCCGGTCTCTTATGAATAGATTTTGTTTCTAGGTTTTCCACCAATACTGTGTTTAAACAGCATAGCTGATTATTCAATATCAACTTGGTTTCATACACAAATTTGGTCTCGAATAAAAGCTTACCTATATCTTTCAGCTGATTTCGAATGGCGACCACTTTCAGAACATTTATTCTTCGATTTATCGTTACTTATCATTCTTGCTATACAAGAAAATAATTTTAAATTGGAACATCAACAAACCAGTGTGAATGAAATGGGCAGTAATGAAGATGGAAAATCAACTTCATATCATTCTAATATCATTCATGATTTTATTACAAATATTAAACTGTCATGGGGCAATCGTTTTGCTTCATATTTCTATTGTTATGTTTATTGGTTCATTATTGCTTATCTCTATATAATAGCCACATATCAACAATCTTTATTCTATTTATTGATATTATTTAACTGTTTTTTTCTTTTTTGGCATGGACAAACATTTCTACAGCGTTCATTTAATCAACAGAACTCATTTTTACGTTTACTTATTCTTTCGTTACTTTCACTTTTTCTTTCACATCTATTCATGCAACCGTTATCATGCATTGTTATGTATTATGCATCAATTGAACACCGTTGTTTTCTAATTCATTATTTTCATGTTCCGTGTTCAATTAAATTGTTTCGGCAATTTTATGCAGATGACTGTCGAATAAAAATTTCTTCAACAAATATTCTAGGTATTTTCGTTTTAGTAGCTTTATCTTTTATTTTGAATAAAAATAATTTTTTTTTTATCATAGAAGAACAGAATGAAAATCAATATAGACCGCGATACTGTAAAGAATATTTTCATAATGATTCAATGGCAATAATCTATACACAAAATGCGTTTTATTGCCAATCAGAATACAATCGGTTGATTTTCGATGCCATCGGATTTCTGCTGGTTTTATTTTTTATTCGTCTACTTCATTCCTATTCATTCTTTTATGTGCGGTTGGAACTTCAAGTGCAAGCAGAACTATCGCAGATGGGTGCATCATTATTATCTCAATTAAATTGGCTTAAACTAATTGAATATCAACAAAAAACAGCCGACGAATTAGAAAATATTAAAGCAAGAGTTGCACAAATTCGACACAGACGTGTGAGGTTTATACAAATATTAAATTTTTAATGCTAAGAAAAATGAATTGAAGATGATATTTTATTGCTGTCGCCTAGGAGAACAGCAAGATAATTCAGCGAAAAAATTAGAAAATAAACTTACTACTACAAGAGAAATGTTGTATATTGCTTGTAAACAGAGATATTCTTCGTGTAATCAGTGCTAAATCTTTTAGAATGCTGTAAAACGCTCGCTGCCCTACTCTATATTTTCTTGCACCTATGGCAATCATAAAACGCGATAAATCTTGATATGTTTTAGACAATGCAAAAAAGAGAAGCTGACATTGATGAACCAACCTATCATCATCATGCTATACTTTCTGGAGATTATTATATGTTTGATACACCTGAAAGTGCAACTTCACTCATTCAAACTGACCGCCATTTAATAGAATCTCAAAATCTAATTAGTCTTCTGGATGTATTCGATTGGAAAACTCAGGATTATCTCAATAGCGATCAACTACTGGCTAAATCATCACGTATTCGTGATAAGACAAACGAACGAGAAGATGACGTGGCCGATAACCGAACGCTACTACATCAATTCTGGAATGCATCAAAAATGGAACAAAATAAAAGGAAAGAATCAAAACACGAAACACATAATCCATCAGTATCCAATACTGAAAATATACCTCACCGTATCGATCTATCATCAATCATGATGTTTTTTCAATTGAAACAAAATTCAGATAAAATTCGACGAGCTCTAGTAAAGCAATTCTTTTTTATTTTGAACTTTTCAATATACGTAATTCAATTCAAAGGATACTATGAATTCTCGTCTCATTATTTATATGGGCCAACAAATTCGTACACTTTTAATCATAACTCAAGTTATTTCAGATGCGAAACTATATCTAAAATATCCTAATGAATCTGCTCGAATAATCACTAGCACTGTTCCAGAAAGTATCAATGATTGCATTATAAAAGCTTGTCAACGTTCGCAACCTAATCATCGTCAAAACAACAACCAAGAAACGTCTTCGTACGGCTCTACAACAAAATTATCTTCTTCTAACCTATTGAGCGCTCGATTAGGAACATCGCTTGATACTAATATAAAAACAAAATCCATCGAAGCGCATACATCTTTAAACATGGCATCGCATCCAACTAATTCATATTCTATTGCCGCGACTCAAATAGATAAGAAAAAAACGAAAATGTCTAATCAAAAAGATCCAATATGCGAAGAAACACAACTAATCATTGATAAAGATTTAGAAAATTTCAAAAATAATCGCCATCATATTGGATCCAGAACTATATTATTTACTTTTATTATGTCAAAATTTGATTATCTTACTTATTTAACGCTCATCATTAATTTTTTAGCATCAGGAGCAGCTGTAATTTGGCTTCCTCTTTTAGCTTCTATTTATTTTTGGGCTATCCTTACATTTCCTTATCCGTCAAGAAAATTTTGGCATTTCGTTACATTTTCATCCATAGTCATTCTTGTTATTCAGTAACATCGATCTTTTCTTTTTTGATTTTTCTTTATTTTGTTTTTATAAAATCATTTAGATACAATATAATATTTATATCACCCCTGTCCAAAAATCTCTACATTCATCATTCATTAATTGGTCGTTTAAATATAATTGCTAATGTTCTCCTATTGATTGTGTTGTCGTTTCATCGTATTGTTCTTCACCAATTAGGTTTATGGGATGACTATCGTCCTGCGACTCAAGATTTATTAATAAATCAACAAACTTCTATACCATCCAATACGAAACTTTTTCGAAATGAAATCATTCAAGAAATTTATGCGATGTTCAAAAATAATGATGGAAAACATGATGAAATAATTGAAAATGTAAATTCTAACGCACTAAAAAGAGAAATTAGCAATACAAAACAAACTCCTCAAGTGTCATCAATAGCTCCTCCATTGGAGATTATAGACAAAATTGAGTCAAAAACATACGTAACTGAGGACCAATCAAGAAATGATTCAGACGAACAGTCTGCATGTTCAACCAGTGATTATGTTGACAAGTTGAAATATTTAATTCAAGCTGTGAAGAATTTTTATAGTTTTGCCATAGGTAAAATAGACTATATTTACTATTTAAACTGAAATTCAGAATATCTATTGGAAGTCTATGTAGATAAAAACGTGCCAATTAACCTATGGGGAGCAGCTCAGTTTAGATACTTGAACTCGGAGAAGATATTCTTCGTGTAGGAATACATCAGTTCTAGTCGGGCTCTATGAAAACCGCTACAGTGCATCCTATGAATTCGCTGGTAGGATGAATACCGGTGACTAGTCTGCTTCCTGTATCTTGTAGAACGGGTTACTTGGTCTACCAATACATCCATCAGATACTCGATACTATTTTGCACACAGCCTGACTGGTCTAATGCATCCCTAGCTTCATGAAAAGTTGTTTTAGTAAAATGCTCGATCTCTTTTCCAAGAGCACTGATTGACAATGGGAAGTAGAAGAAAACGCTCTTTTTACGTCAGTTTTCTGATATTCACTAGTCGACTTAGGAATACTTGATTTTATGTTTTCAATATCGGCGTCGAATTCTCCAGCGCACGATGTTGGATTACTTAGATGTGTATATATACTAAAAATTTCTGAATTTTGAATTTACACAGCATGTCCAATTGTACCAAAAGTTGATTGTTATTCATCGATGTTTTTATGTGATTTTATTGTTATTTTTTCAATTATTGCTGGACATCAACGATTTTCGAATTCGGACTCAGTTCAGGACAATATTATTTATCGTTATATTCAAGGTTCATCATCCATTGATATAACACCTATTTTGATGTTATTAATACAATTCTTACTTATTATTGTTGATCGAATAATTTATTTAAAAAAACATGTGCATACTAAATTCTATTTCTTATGCTTTCAATTTGTTGTTCTTCATCTATGGCTTGTTATTATTTATCCGATATGGTTTCAACGAGCAATGCCAACGAATTGGGCCGCTGTTTCAATTTATATATTTAAATCGTTCTACTTTATGTTATCATCTTTACAAATACGTAACGGGTAGTTTAAAATCGGTTTTTAACTCACGAATGCATCGAATAAAAAATTATGCTTGTTTTTTTAGTTATCCAACAAGAATTTTAGGTAATTTTTTAACAACCCGTTATTCAATATTACGTTTACTATGCTATAAACTCTACTGTATTATTCCATTTCTTTATGAAATGCGTGTTTTAATGGATTGGATGTTTACTCCAACGTCATTATCGTTAACATACTATTTTATGATGGAAGAAATAGCGAGAAATGCATGGACACAAAAATGTTGGCGCATTACATATGGTAGATCACCAACGAAACGAGCAAAAAACCGCGGACGTTGTGAACGATGTAAGATTATATAGACACTGTGTGAGAGAGAGAGAGAGAGAGAGGTAATTATAGGAAAATTTGGCAGCAAAAACTGTTCGGATTGTAAAACTATAAAGAGCTGTTTTTGCACGCTCGAATTGACTGGACATCAAAATAAGTTGAACGGTCAACTTATCGATATCTATGGAGTATTGTGATACGGAGTCAAAAACTAAAAGAATAAACACGATTATTTTCCATTTTACCGTTGATTATCTTCATAGAGAAAAATAGGATAACCAGGACCAATTAAACGAAAGAACTTTTCGATGCTTTGACATTTTAATTTTGCTTCAAGAACGTCTCTCTAACGAAAACAACATGTGCAGAAAAAAATTTTAATTTAGAGTTTTCCACATTTTAGTCTTCTGCCTCCCATGTTTTAGAAAATTGTGCGTTTCAGTAATACTCCGTTATTATAGAAAACCGTCCTGAAATACTGCCGTAGGAAAAATGTAATGGCATCGGTTTGATGAATATGTTTTACCAATAGCGCCATATAGTCATTCATTTTTGATTGTATGCTAACATTTAGATTGTATCGGTGGTTGGATTTTATTTGCTATCATTGTTGTTCTTTGGTTTCCGTTAGTATTCTTCAGGTAACAATTCACAAATAATTTGAAGATAAGAAAAAAAAGGCTTCTTGTCTCTAGCGTAAGCACTAGTTTAGCCGATCCTATTTCAATTGATCGTTGTGAAATTAAACTACGGCTCTCAAATTATAAAGAATTGTAAGTCATTTTGGATTGTGTAACATATTAATCAAGAGCATAGATTCAAATCATTAGATATCAATTAATGACAAATAACGTTCGAGAACCGACTACAGATGAATTTTCAACTGATATTCGCCCATTAATTACTAATGCATCGTTTGCATCAAATCCACGAGAGTTCGAACCAGCTGATATCGCTTGTATACACTTACTAGGTCACATTGGCAGACAATGGACGATTTCGTTTTCAGCATTGCATCAATTAAAAGAAGAACTTAAAAATTACATTAATAATAGTCGATCAACTATACTTCAAATATATTTCGATTATTCATTTATACGTAATGGTCAAACAAGTGAACACGATATTTTACCTACAGGTTATATTTCAACTTTATCGGAAACGCATCAAGTTCCATTAACGAAGGAAAATGCAATGCTACTATTAAGAATGCTTACGTCTGAAAATCAGAAACAGGTATTTCAATTAATAAAATATACTTTACGCATTATATTAATTTATTTTAGACAACTATTATAATTTCTAAATTAATGCCAAAACTTATTCATTTATTACCGGATATGATTGATAAAAATTCTCCATTCTACCCTCAAGATGTTCGGTTAGTTTTAAGACGAGAAGAGCAATTGCTTTGGTGGGATATTTCTGAAGTTGTGACGAACGATTGGAAAAATAAATGTTCATTTGATTCACAAGCACTTAATCTAATCACTGTTTCAGAACGAGCTGGTGCTCAATCAAAAAGTTTTAATTTAATATCAAAATTACTTATTGGTATGTTCACTTAGGAAACGCATTGAGTTTAGAGATCGATTGTTAGTAGTGTAATCTTTTCGAGTTTCCTAAATTGATACAGTTAAAATTTCAAACAGTACCCAAAGATCCCTGTCGTATAACTATACGAGACATCTGCACTTAGAATATTTTCAATTTTTTTTTGAAAAAACTTCAGGTAATAACGCAAAATTAACCTTAATTGGCGTTTATGCCGGTCTTGTTTATGTCTTATGGTTAACATGTTTTCGTAAAACCTTATTTTCTGATATTCAATTGATCATGTATCATGAATGGCCTTTTGCTGATCGCGTTGAAAAACTATGTGAAGAAGTTTATCTAGTACGCGAGCTTGGTGAATTACAATTAGAAGAAGAATTATTTGCTCAACTTATTTTTCTTCATCGTTCACCGGAAACACTTATTCGATTTACACGACCCAAATCAGCTAGTAGAAAACAGGAACATTATCAAAATCAAAATCAACATTTACATCAAAATTAAACTGAATTCGAGATGAAATCGGCATTGATTTATGACCTCTTGATACGTAATTACAGTTAGGTAACTGTTTCATGAATTTAGCTTAGTTGAATTTATTGCTAAAACTTGAAGATTTTATATTTAATACAATGCACAGTTCTAAACTAAGCCATTGATAATATATATTTATCAATTTTAAAATATAAAACAAAGCGCTATTGATATTATTCACTCTTCTCACATCAATTTAACAATAGCCGACTGCACTTCGCGAATGTTACTAAACAAAACGTCCATTTTGAAAATATTTCATCGGCTGAAATCAGTGGAGTTATCTTTAAAGAAAAGACTGATGTCGAGAGTCTCTACCTAACACGTTCAATGCATCACCAAAATTCTATTGGATATATAAGTTGTGCCTGATTTAAAAATTTGCACTCTCGAACTAATTACAATTTTTGTCGAAGAACAAGAAAAATCATGAATCTGTAGTAATTAGTGAAAATTTTCTCAATAGCGGATCCGTTTTTAAATTCGGTTCAATCGAGAATTTTCATTATTTCGAATCTTAACATTCGTCTCTATCCCTTTACTTTGCCAATATGTGCAATACTATCCGATAGCATTTCTAGTAAAAACATCATACTCTTTTGTTAAAGTTTTTTTTTGTTCAATTGACTTCAAGTTCTTTTAATAGTATAAAAAAAATTTTTCAATAGAAATTCTATGATGGATAAAACGATCTTTTGTTATAATTTTTTTCGATTTATAACATATCAATAAAGTACCAAAAAGAATCACTTTTAATGAATGATGATATTTAAATAAAATATGTGACTGAAAGATAATATTATTTTAGAGAAGCATTACATCTTATTTGTCTGAATTTCAACGCAGCTGAAAGAAAAAACTTTAAATTACACAGTAAGAATAATGAAATTGCCCGTAGACATCAAGTTCATCCAGTTGATAGGAGTCGATTGAATTCATTGTAACATATTTCAAGATCCATTTGAAATTGTCGCGCTTGTTCTTCAGTAATCTCTTCAGCTGCATTCATATTTGTCAATATATTCAACCTAAAAAACGAGAAACTTCACTTTAGAAAAAAAACAACTTCATTTCTCTATTCACCATTTAGGGATTTTATCTCGGCCGGTATAATTCGATGGTATTAAATTCATTCTATTTATCACATCTAATAAATCACGAACATCTGTTTGAAGCTAAAATAATAATCAAAAAATCATATTTTCATTATTTATTTTTGCACCAAGTCTTACCATATCATTAGCTCGAATGTTCAATTTAAGTTTATCCATAAGATTAATGAAGAGCTAAAAAGAATAGGTGCAACAAAAAGTTTCGAAAGAATATTTTTTGATTTCAAATTCATACCGAAACAGTTTCCGCTATAGATTTACCCATGTTACCACGATCATCTCGAACAGTAATCGGACGGCCTTCATTAATACGTAATATAGCTGCTGGACAATCGAGCTAACAATAAAAAGAAAATGAAGTCAAGTTCTAAGAAATAACGAAATTTTACTTTGTATTTATGAACAAAATCTTCAACTTTAGGAAATTCACCCTCAAGTTGACGAAATGCTGCTGAATATTTAGCCAATAATATTTGACAATTACTTGTATATCTAAATGAAATTGTGATTAGGAAAAAAGCAAATTTCTATGTACAATTAAAATATACTCTGCTGGTTCGACCAGATCTTTTATATAGGCTTTTTCAAGTGCTTGTAATGTAGTTATGATTGAAAATACATCAGCCATATTGTCATATCTAAAATAAAAGCATTTTATCAACAAAAAATAGAAATTCATTCATTGCGTTTTTTATTTTACCTTTCTCGTTCACGCGGATTTTTCCATAGACGCACTTCCTTTTTAGAAATAGAAATTCAATCATAAGAAATACAAAGTAACCTAATCACTTACTTCATACATTTCAGCTCTGTTGTGATCTAAAATAAGAAACAATAAGCATATCAGTCAAATAGCATGAATTTTTAGATAGAAAAGAAAAGGTATCGCTTCATATGGTTTTTGTATCGTTCAAATTTGTTTTAGAGATTCAGTCTAATGAATTTTTATTCTAAGGACTTACTTGATGCAGATGGATTAAAACTCATTTTTTGTTTTGTTTATTGTACTAATTCAATAATCTACAATAAGAATGATTTATATTGCAATGAGTAAAGAACGATAAGAAGAAAAGAAAAAACGATTGTTTTAAATATCTGTTTTTTTTTGTTTATAACAAATATACACTAGAGACACAAAAGAAGAACCGACTATAAGATAGCCATTAATTGAGTGTTTCGCCTTTGCTAACCTGTTCAAACAAAAAAATATGGATGAGTAATAAAGATAAGCAAAGATAATAAATTGATTTTACTCGTGCTTCGAGATAATCAACATGTCGTTCAAGCGCTGTTAGTTTTTCGTTTAATGTCGATAAACGAAATCGACATGAAGATTCTTTAAAAAACGAAACAAAACAAAATAAGAAAATAAATTTCATTACGATTGAATTACCAAATTGATTTAGAAAATCAACCAGACGTTTAATAGCGGTTGTCAATAAAAGAATATCGTCACGGCGTTGCCAATCGTCTTGGATGTTGCGACGAACTTCACTTGTTTCGCCGTTACAACCGTTTTCACTTGGTGGAGATCTTATACTTCCCATGCCATAGTGAGACATTATTTTTAATGTTCTCGTTAATTATGTCTGTGACTCAAAGCTACTATGTTATCGAACATAAACAAAACAAAAAAAAACGATGTGCTTTTTGATAGGTAATAGAGGTCACTGTTCTATATTTCTATGGGAGAGAAGCGAGAAGCCAATCAAACGCTTTCATTCCTGTTTTCTTCTCATTGAGCAAAAAAACATGGCATAATAGTATTGAGGCACATTTTTTTATTCCCGGGTCATTTTTGCTCAGCATTCAAATGGCAACTGTAGATCGGCGCGTATTATTTTCTACCATATTATTTTGTATAGCCGATCTACTTGTTCTCATTAGTATATCAAGACCACGATGGCTTTTGTCGATAAATCAAGGTATAGAAATTGAATGAATAGTCTTTGATGAATGGATTTTTTTCCTTGGGATCTTTCGTTAGAAGTATACAAGTAACATCTGTATCTATTTTTTAGCTAGACAAAGGAATATTTATTCATTCACACGAAAAAATATTTTTACAAAATCATCTTTCATGCAACGATGAAACTAAAAAATGATATTGTGTGAATATCAAATTATAATAGTTAATGTATTCCATTTTAGTCTTTTCTAATAGAATATTTCATTTCGAGTATAGCAATCTATTAGCTTCGATCTACTAAATTAGATTGATGACATAAAGAAATATTGATCTAATGAATCTCATTTAGGTGAAACATCCATTGGTCTTATTGAAATGTGTATCATGACCTCGCCAGCCAATCCTAATAATCAAAAATGTTTTATTTCACATCAATTTCGTCTCGTATGGAGTATATCATTCGGGTTGGCTTTAGCTGCATTTGCACTTCTGTCAGTGACTATTGTTCTTCTTGTTACTTCACAATATACACAAACACCGATAGCTCAATATGGCCGACTAGCTGGATTTATAGCCAGTAGGAATTTATTTTATTAGAAAAGAAAACGATCGTTCATTTTTTCTCTAGTGATATTTTTATGTCTTTCATCGATTCTTTTCCCCATGGGTTTCGATTCAGAACTCATCGGAGGTTCACCGTTTCAATTACCATCGGATTATCGAATAGGATCAAGCTATATTCTATTTGTTGGCGCAACATGGTTAACTGTCATATCGACATTGACGACTGGAAAAATGTGCTTACCGACACAACTTATTTAGTATAGATGTAGATTTCAGTTTCATTTGTATATATCTCGATAATTATGGGAATTTTTTTATGTACGTTTCGCTTTAGTCGATTGTTTTGATGAGTTTATTTTTAGACAAATATGTTTTTTTTCAGTGATAATGACAGATATTTTTAAATAAAAATAGCATTTGATTCGACTGAATGGCAATATGAACTGTGGTATTACTTACTTATTTGAATAATTCTATACTCTATTGTCTTGATGACTTGGCCTTGATATTGCAACACAGCGACACTCTGTTGTATTAAGAATTGTATACAGCTTTTCTCAAAGTTCGTAATAACTTGTCAATAAATCCTGACAAAGAAAGTACTTATCTCGGTAAAGCTGATGTTTATTATAAAACTATGTTTTAAGCTTATATCTACATACGTATATCAGCGAGAATAAACGTTTATGTTCAGATGAAATTTCCTTAGTTGTTCACTTGTCAAAGATGATATGGATGAGTCAGAAGACAAATCTATTCTATTCATACTTCAAGATTATTAGCATACCGTTGAAATACTTCTAATGTTTTATTTAATGTTCATATGATGATTCTTCGATTAATCAGAATAGCATAACAAATTCGATCAAATCATAGTCGAATTATAAAATCCATTTAGGATGTCAACAAGACATTGTAATTTATCTTGAAGATTTCCTCCCAATTGATTTGCTTCACCGTTCATTCTTTTCATACGAGAGAGATGTTGTATCCATCATGCCTTGTGATAGGAAATTTGACAGATTCTAGAGGTCACTATATTATTATTCTGTCGCAGGCAAACGACAAACCAATCACATTATACTGCCATACGCTTTTGCCGATCAAGCAGATCAATATTCCATCGTTTCTTTTCCAGGGTCACGTTTCAATAACAAGCAAAAATGGCAACTATAGATAAATTTGTATTATGTTCTACACTATTATTCTGTATAGCCGATCTACTTGTTCTAATAAGCATATCAAGACCACGATGGCTTTTATCCGTAAATCAAGGTATACATAATCTAAATATAGATTGAGACTACAGAAGTAGGACTTTAATAGACAATCTTTGATTAATGGATTTCGGTTTCATTGGCTACTTCCGTTAGAGCTATACAATTAGCATGAGTATCTATTTGTTAATTGAACAAAAATAATCGAAATATTTATAGGAAAAAATTGTGCTGAAAAATGCACTCAGCTGCTTAAGTATAAAAATAGAAGTAATGTAATTCCTCAAAAGTATTCTTGATATATTAGATTGCAATCTCCTCTCATCGAGTATTCTTCATAGTAGGCTTTGGAGATTGAATTAAATCAAATTAGAGACACTCGAGAAAATAACACAGAAAATAAATTAGATTTATTCATCGTAAAAATGGCGACAATGTTAAATATTGACTCCTCTATACTCTACGGAAATCCTCGTTTTAATTGTTTTTTTTTTCGGCCGCTATACCGGTATGCATAAAACTACTTTAATATTACCTTACCATTAGTTTTATCTGAATATAGAGAAATATCGATCTAATGAATCTCATTTAGGTGAAACATCCATTGGTCTTATTGAAATGTGTATCATGACCTCGCCAGCCAATCCTAATAATCAAAAATGTTTTATTTCACATCAATTTCGTCTCGTATGGAGTATATCATTCGGGTTGGCTTTAGCTGCATTTGCACTTCTGTCAGTGACTATTGTTCTTCTTGTTACTTCACAATATACACAAACACCGATAGCTCAATATGGCCGACTAGCTGGATTTATAGCCAGTAGGAATTTATTTTATTAGAAAAGAAAACGATCGTTCATTTTTTCTCTAGTGATATTTTTATGTCTTTCATCGATTCTTTTCCCCATGGGTTTCGATTCAGAACTCATCGGAGGTTCACCGTTTCAATTACCATCGGATTATCGAATAGGATCAAGCTATATTCTATTTGTTGGCGCAACATGGTTAACTGTCATATCGACATTGACGACTGGAAAAATGTGNTAGGAATTTATTTTATTAGAAAAGAAAACGATCGTTCATTTTTTCTCTAGTGATATTTTTATGTCTTTCATCGATTCTTTTCCCCATGGGTTTCGATTCAGAACTCATCGGAGGTTCACCGTTTCAATTACCATCGGATTATCGAATAGGATCAAGCTATATTCTATTTGTTGGCGCAACATGGTTAACTGTCATATCGACATTGACGACTGGAAAAATGTGTTTACCGACACAACTTATTTAGTATAAACATAGTTTTCTTCTTTTTTTTTATATGTGGGTGTTTTCTATGAATATTTTGTTCAAGTTGGATGTTTTGGATAAGATTATTTTTAGACGAACTATTTTCCTTTTCTTTTGTAAGTGATAATAGCAGATATTTTTAGACGAAAATGGCGATTGATTTAACAAAATCACGCCGTAAACTACCATCGGCTATGATTGATCGATCATCTTACTCCATATTATCTGTGCTCAAACAGGCAATAGGAAACGATCTCACACGATTTTCCATACCTGTTATATGGAGTGGTACACGAAGAATGCTTCTTTTAAAATGTATTCTATTCGGTATTTTTAGAACCTCTTAGTTTTCTACAACGTTTATCGGAAGGCTTAGAATATTCATCATTACTTGATCAAGCCGCATCAGCTAATACATCCATAGAACGGTTTCATTACATCACAGCTTTTATTGTATCAAATCTATCAACGCATCTCGAACGAACATCAAAACCATTCAATCCATTGTTAGGCGAAACGTTTGAATTAAAGAAAGAAAACGATTCACCATTTCACTTCATCGCTGAACAAGTTAGTCATCATCCACCTGTATCGGCTCTTTATGCGCGTGGATCGAATTGGATTTTAACTGCAAATATTGAACCTAGAGTCAAATTTCATGGTACAACGGTAGTCGCTACATCCGAAGGTTAGCAAATATTTCAATCTATGACATATCGTATTGTTCAAATTAATATCTACGTCAGTTTATATTATTTTGCTACTATAACGAAAAATAACGCAAAGGTCAATAGACTTGAAAACATCGCATGACTAGAGCCCGCATCAAATTTCAGTCAGCTTACATTTTGGTTTGTAAAATAGAAAACAGTATTGGTTTTGAAAAACTTGAATTCCCGCTAGTTCAATATCGATATTTGTCTTTATGAATATACAATTATTTTACAATTTAGGTCGATGGGTACTACATATAAAGAGAAGGTCTGAAATATCTCGTTCATCATCACAATCAAGTTTTTATTCATGTTCCGGAGAAAATAGTGAACAAGACGAACAAACTGACAATCAAGATAATCGTTATGACGAATATACGTGGCAATCTCCAACTGCAGTTATTCATAATATTCTATTTGGTTATCTTTGGTGCGAATTTCAAGGAGAAATTAATTTACAGCATATACAAACTAATCAACGAGCTATTTTAACTATTCAATCTCTTTCGTGGTTTGCAACACAGGCAACAAGAGAGGCTGAGATGTTTAAATTTATTGGATATATCTATGATGGTATGTATTATTTTTCGTGCTCATTATTCGACATGAGTCTTTTCGTAAATCTAATCGACAAAAGCATCAAATATTTGAGCATACTAAAAATAATTTGTAAGACTTTTGCTTTAATATTCACCCTTGATTCTTTTTAGGTGATGATAAACTCGCTGCATTTCATGGTAATTACGGTCATTGTTATTATGCTATTGATGCTTTAAAAGATGTCGACTCCATAACTAAATCTTGCTGTTCAATTGGTGGTAATAATTGTATTCATTTCAATTCTAATCCATCATTAGTACCACCATGCAATCTAATACTTACGCCATCATCACGTCTTATTTGGTACCGATGTTTACCATCAATGACCGATGAAGAACTAGCAGCAAGATCTCAATATTATTATTTCACGCCATTCACTATGTGTCTTAATGAATCAATATCATCTTTGTCATCATTGCCGCCAACCGATTGTCGGTATCGTCAAGATGTACGTTTTCTTGAGCAAAGTGATTTGGATGCTGCTTCATCAGAGAAACATCGTCTTGAACAACAACAAAGAGCAGAGGCAAAAAGTCGTGAAGGTGATTATCAACCGTTATGGTTTAAGCAAAATGACAATAAAGAATATATCTACACTCGCAAATATGAACAACGAAATTTTGAGCACTGCCCGAATCTATTTTTTCAAGAGTCACCTCTGTCATAGTTGTTTTTCTTCTTCTTTTTCATACAGTTGTGTCTTCTTTTACATCGTTTGCGAAACTTCATTTCTAGAATTTTAATACTTTTAATAATGTTATTAAAAATGATTTATTTATTAAATGTACAAACATCTAATTTGACAGTATTATTTTGGTATTATCCGACGACTTGATGAAATCAATCGGGCGTATGCTTTTTTTTTATCAATTATATGTATGCTAACATTGTTTTTCACTGCTCGTCGCTCGAACAAAACTATAGAAACTATGAACATATACAGAAAATGAGACAGAATCAAACTAATCTGCACTTTTATACACATGATTCTATTCTGTCGATAGATCAATCTCTCAGAATTCTATGGAGAACCATCTACAACTAAAAAACATTCAAGAAAAATAGTATATTACATTGCTTAGTCTCTTTTGATAATAATTCGCCATCGGACATGAAAGACAAACAGGAGAATAACTAATAGGGTCTTTATCAACAATCTCTATCACGAATAATATTCATGCAATCAATTCCTACTTCATGAGACACGTGCCTGTTCCAGTTCGAATAGTTTATAACATAAAATTATTAACTAGCATGACTAAATGACAAAAACAGTTGTAAAACATTCTTTCTGTAATCGATTCAATGAAAATATTTGAGTATATTAACCCGAATGTTCATAGACCAGCCAAATTAACAAATTTCATAGTCAACTTTGTTTACAATTATATATTTCATGAATAAAGCAAACAAATTTTCATATAAAACAGCTAGACGCTGATGATTATTATTGAAGACTAAAATTAGTTTCTCTATAATAGCATTTCGAACCTAAAATAATAAGAATTCGAGCGCTTCACATCGTCTAGGCTTTTTCAACTTCTTCTAATTACAATATTTTGAAGGCCCGCAAAATTGCTATTCTATTTTCCATGATAACACGAGTTTGTTAATCCAGTCTTATAAGAAAAAAAGTACTCGAGTTGAATAATAAAAGTGCCATCTTTATTTTCCGGCAGATCTAGTAGATACAATGTGATCCATTTATCATATTCTTTCGACATGGTTTATTTCTTGTATTCAGAGTGTAAGATAACATGTTCCGGAAATGTTTTCAATTGAATATCTTTCATTTTTCCTGAAATTTATTCAAATAGAATGGTTGTTTGTTGTCGACTATTTGTCGCATGAATAAATTAATCAAAGATTGGAGAAAATCTCTCACGAAAATTTAGTAATTACGAAGATTAGATTTAGTTTTAATAAGATTCCGTGCTTAGAAAAATCTGATATCTTCATAGGGTAATGATAATTGAAATTCAGCTGCATTTATTACTTCTGGCTGTTGAGCTTTGACCTTTTCCTATTGGTATAATTTATTGTTTATCATAATAACTTCATGTTGATGTCACTGAATTCGATTGGCACTATAGTTAAACGGGTGGTGATTCAAACATCACCCTTGCAAATTGAATATTTAAGATAAAAATTATTTTAAAAAAAAGTAACACATAGATTTATAGACTCATTCTTTATTCATTGCTATGTTATATGGCTTCGTTTTTATAATGATTTTTAAAAACTCTCATATACTACTTGTCAATGTTATTCTATTTCTGTGTTCTTATCGAACATAATCTAGACTGGGTGGGAGTAAATGTAAAATCATTGCTATTTTATGTTTTGTAAAACACAATTTTTGAGAGATTGATACTTCATTTGTTTGTGATTCTTTTCATCAATCGATAGCTCAAACTCTTCTCTATCGCTCTAAACTAATCTTAAGTTTCTAAGTCAATATCATACATTTTTAAGAAAGCTCTCAAAACACAACTCCAAAAACAAAAATTTCATAAGAAGTCGTATATATTTAATGTGTATTTTGTCTGTTATACGAGAGTAAAGCGTCAAACTACGACATAGAATAGCAGTTTTTCAAGCGAATTTTGCCAACATTGAGATTTACTTAATATCTTCTTCTCTTTAAAACAAACCAAGAGTCGTATTATCTGTTCTGCAACATTTTAGAGTCAGTTTACCCTGTAAAAATAGTTAAACAGAGACGTCAACGTTCAATTTTTCAATCGATCATTGAGTTAGTATGCAATAAGTAACGGTAGAATTGTTTTCTATAGCTTTCTGTTAGTGTTCCAAAGGTTCAGTAACTGGTATATGATGAGTTCTAGCTAAATTTGGGCACAACAGGTTGTTCAGCTCATTCAAGGAGTTTTACTATGGAAAATTTATTATTTTCAATGCTTCACAATGATATTCAAATGTAATTGTTGAACCTGGTTGCAAAATCATCGAAATCTAGCGCAAAAATCATTACTATACTTTCTTTTATGAAGTTAATTACAAGTAATTTACGTAAAAGTTCGAAGAAATATCCTCGAATAATGCTCTAAAAATTACTACTGTGATTGCCAAGTAAGGACTACTTAGTGGCGCTTCATGTCTCTGAATTGGTAGTTATGACTGAGTTATTGAATGCTCAAAATAAATTTTGATAACTTGAGGGACATTCAGGCAAGTTTATTACTTACTTTAATTAAAGATATTAACTATAGATCTAGTTTTTAGCTGAACTATTTTCGAATCTATATTAACAATAAAGATTTCGTGCTAAAACTGTAATTAAATCATTTTCTAAATACGATCTCGGAGAGTTTTGAATCGTGACAACCACATTAAATAATAATGCTACGATCGGAGATGTATGAGAAAGTCTTTTGATTGTTTTGTTAAGAATTTCGAGTTCAACTCTGTAATTGAGATAGTAATTTCAATGTGAAGTCAGAAGAATCGTTGGAAAAGATCCGCCTGTTCCATTGAATAACCAATCTTGATAGATCTCATTTATTTAGCTCGTTAAAAAATAGAGTATACTAAGAGCGAGCTAACTTTATAAGAAGATGAATCCGATGACCAATAAGAAACATACTTCTATCATTTACAAACGATTCTTATTCGAAGAATGGTGATATACAAGTAGTATACTTCAACTTTACTCAGTTCATTAAAATAAAATTGAGATGAAATCAATAATTAAGTTGATAAGTTAATAATTTTAATAAATTAAAAAAAGAGTTTTTCCTCAATAGGAGCATAAATATAAACAAAATAGATGTTAACTTCTTATACAGAGAAGAAAATATTAAGTAAATCTCAGTGTTGGCAAAATTCGCTTGAAAAACTGCTGTTCTATGTCGTAGTTTGACGCTTTACTCTCGTATAACAGACAAAATACACATAAAATATATACGACTTCTTATGAAATTTTTGTTTTTGGAGTTGTGTTTTGAGAGCTTTCTAAAAAAATATATGATATTGGCTTAGAAAATTAAGATTAGTTTTAGAGCGAGAGAGAAGAGTTTGAGCTATCGATTGATAAAAAGAATCACAAACAAATGAAGTATCAATCTCTCAAAAATTGTCTTTTACAGAACACATATAAAATAGCAGGGATTTACATGTACCCCAGTGATGCAAGCATGATTATGCATTCGTCTCCGGTGGAGAGAATGTAAACATGAAAAATGGCGATCAAAGAATACTCTGCAGATAGGTCTACGTACAGGATTTTCAGTTGATTTCTGCACCTATGGATAGAGTGCCATCTTAACTAGGTGTCTTGTAACCAAAACGCTCTTTTTAAATGTAAAATAAAAAAGTTATATCAATTATTCGAAGGCACATTATTTTTCAGTTTACATTTACTCCTACTTACTCTATCGATTAACTCATTTTTTTTAATGTACCATTTATAGTCTTTCCCTTTCCCTCCTTCTTCTTATCGAAAAAAAGCCGATTGATTTATGTATGCAGTGCGAGTTCATGCATGAATTTATTATCAAGTTTTCTTTTCACTACATCAATTCACCCCACAACTCTCCAACATTGTTGATCATTCTTAAATCAAATCGCGATCATTTTCATAACACGAAGAAAAAAATGTAAATATAGAATGATTAAATTTATGCAAGAAAAAAGAGTTGTGGGGAAAAAGCTAATAAGAACTAATACCATTGCGTACAGCTAGTAGTAGTATCATTATGGCGGATTGAGGCAATTTTTTCGAGAAAATCTATAGAAGCTCGTTGAACTCTGACTACAAGCTGCTGTAGCATTAGAGAGTTGCCTCATTTAAGAAATCACCAACACCATATATTTATTATTATTCACAGATTAGAAAATATCAAAACGTTAATGTTGAAATTTTTTTTAAATAAAATCAATCTAGTTACAATCAATCATTTCTAACAGATCGCAGTCAATCAACCATAAAAAGATGTAATTATATAGTTTAATCATTTTGAAACTTAATAATCGTATAAAAAAAATAGATACTTTTGTTAATCCATTCTAGGAAGTTATTGAGAAAGCTACAGTGGAAGTTTTGTCGTCCGGTATTTGAAATGCAATTTATTTTTATTGAGCAGTTACTGGCGTCGCAGGTTTTTGTTTTTTTTGAGTAATTGCAAACGCTTTAGCGGCACATAATGTCAGCCCGTGTGGATGATAATCAACTCGATAATTTGTTCTATGATCATGTTCACCAGTTCGATTTAGCATTCTTATTTCAGGTATATAAGCACGTGCTCGTGGCCCTGAATCAATAGAACTAGATAGAATTTGATTTTTGAAAACGAAATTACCTGGTTGTCCTTGATATGTATCGCCGGTTGTTGTTGCACCTGAAAATTTTTCTAATGGTGGAACATAAATATCAGGCATTGGATCACTATATTGTCGTTTAGGTTTCATAGATTCGTAAGGCTTAAAATGAAATCGAGACATTGAAACATTTTCCATGGGAAGCTGTTCATCATTCATTGAGAATGTTGCTTTCATTGGTACTAAACGAATCCGTGGTAAAGTGGTTATATCCAATGGTTGAAAATCTCTCTAGAAAAACAAATGGTTTAAGTATACTACTGATGGTTTTAGTAGTAATGCTAATAAGTTACTTGTGTTACAGACATTGTATCCATCTTTTGAATAGGTGGTACGTAGGGTCTATTATGATCTTTGGGTGCTGCAGGTGGTTGACGAGTATGCCGACTTGCATCGATACCTTCATAATCGATACGGTATTGACTTTTACTATAAAGATTTTGAAGAAATTTCAAATTTCAATTTGTTGTTTAGCATTTCAATAAAATATTCAACTAACATTACAGCTGGAGTCAATGAACTGCCTAGACTGATCTGAGATACGAACGGTTCCATGTCAGCTGGTGGCGATCGCTGATGGTTTGGATAAGGACGATAATCTAAGCTCGATTGCGAAATTGCAAACATTGGACGACGTTTATAAACTTTATCTTCGACTTTTTCATCTTTTCTTTCACTTGGAGCACTTCGTATTGATGTTGTTGAGTGTTGAACATAACTGTCACGATAGTTTGTATTTAAATCCATTGAACCTTTATGAATATTTAGAATTATCAACGAAAAAGAACGAAATTCGCATCAAGATTTACCAGAAAGTTTAAGATTTCCTCGATTTTCAAGTCGACGAGCTGGCCTTGTTTGGGATACTTTAGGAAACGCTACAAATGTACTCCCTGTCGAAGTGCTAAAATCACGACTTGAACCGGGAAATAGGACGTGTTCTAAAACAAAAAAATCAATTGATAGTTAAGTTTTTTCAATTGAGAAAACAAAGAAAACAAATTCCATAGTAACGTATATCCTTATTACGAATAGCTTATTTTGTACATAGCGATTTCAAATCTAAGTGAAAGCATCGTCATCATGCAACTAATAAATGATTGATCATATAGGTTTTCAAGCAAGATTGACATGGCTTCATTCAGTCAACATCAAACTATAGAATATTTTTTTTATCGTACATCATTTGAAATATTTTACAAGAAAAATAATACTAATTATAATAAACGAACACCTCGAGCCATGGAAATATTTATTCAACAAACCCGCTATAAGAAGCAATGCGAAATTGTATAAGAAGAGTGTTGATATGGGTAATAAAAATTCGAAAGAAACCATATTATTTCTACAAGCCAATATGGTTTCATGAGTAGAATAAACTGAGCAACACTTTCACTCCTAATACTCATTTAGTTACACAATAGACTTATTTGAAATATCAATGATCAATCCTAAAGATGTCGTTCAATGTTGACAATGATCAAAGTTTTAGTCTTTTGAAATAAATCTTAGAATAATATAAAGAAGAGAGAAAAGCTTTCGACGCTTTTCATGTTGACTGTAAAACAATTACTGTAACACTTCTTTGCTTTTAACAATTCATGTGAAAACAAAAACTTTTATCGAGATTATTCTCTTATCAAACTTGAGATTGTTCGAATCGATTACGAAGAAAAACATTTAAGAAGAACATAAACCAAAAAGCGATTTTTCTCTTCTCACTTTCAAGTGAATCTTAAACAACAGAAAAACATCATTTTATTTCATTTGTTTACCTGTAACTGAAGGAAATTCAGCATAGGGATCAGATCTAGCTGAATTCCACGGTTGAAAATCTGTTCGAGCTGTTGTTATAGAAGATAATGGCGCTGTTGGTTCATCGATATTCATACTAAATAATCGATGATAGTAGTAGAACTATTCATAGAAAAGAAAAAAAGAACAATATTTACTGAGAATCTTTCATAACATCTTTTAACGGTCGAAGTAATGCTGGAACAATGGGTCTGTTAACATATTCAGCTTGATAGGAGCTTTTAGTTTCCATTGGAACTGCCCGCATCAGTAAACCATTGCCTGTCTATAAGGAGAGAAACAAAATAAAAAATAATAGTTTCAGTTGAAAATCTCATTGAATAAACATACTGGCTTATTATGTTTAGGCAAAGGTTTTCTAATATTGCTGGATGGCGGAGGTTGATAATGATCTCGTTGTGAACTAACACCAGACATTGCTGCATTTTTAAATGATATTGGTATTTCATTATCAGGCGCAGGAGGAAATGGCTGACGACGTTGGTGTGCTGATCCACCGGCTGGATATGTTGGTGATTTAAATGTTGCTTTATAATGGGAAAGTGGACACCGAAGATTTATAGGCAATTTTGTTCGTTGTACTGGCTTTTGTCGGCACTGAGGATAGTGTTCATATCCTGCACGATCAAAGCAACCATCATCACATAATTCACACGGGCATTTATCAAATTTGGGCAAATCATTAAGTTGCAATTTAGCAACATCTACGTTTTCTAATTTCATTTTATTGTCAACCCGCAATGAATAGAACCATTAAATAAATGATAGCAACCAAATATGAGTATGTTTACTTTGTAACAACAAATAGTAGAGAGAAAAAAACACGAAGAGAAGATGAAGAAAAAAAATGCAATGGCACCAACAACTTCAACGATTTCAGTTTTTATATATGTTTGTGTTGCGACAACGTTAAACGAGCATTTCTTCTGTTCTTCTAATGAATGCTATGTGATCGTTCTGTCTCGTGGACTTGAAATAAATTTTTTAAATCAAAAGAAAACATTCGATGCTTAGGAAAAGAAAAAGAAATAGGTAACAAACTTTATAGATTTCACGGGATAAAAGAAAATATTGAAAACTAATTCATAGATATTAGTTAATCATTGATGGGTTTCAAATTGACGCTTAGATTAAAATTCACTTAGAAAATCGACTGTTTTCGAACATCTTGAAAATGCTAAGAAGTATTTTCAGGTCATGATATACAATGTCTCACGTGGGAGGAGATCGTTCGAAATAATTATTTCCTATTCAAGCTCGAACTCTACCGTTGACGTAGGTGCTTGTAAGTTGTGAGAAATATTTCAAGTATCCTGAAACCCTTCATCTAAAGTTATGCGCAGCTCACTGAAATCTTGTTGTATGCACGTCTTAAAGCAACCATTAAAAGACAAAATATTACCTTTATATCATTTTGAAGGTTTGAAAAACAAAACGTTTTCTCGTGTTACTCTTGAATATGAACGAGTTTGTAAAACTATATTATCTCGTGAAGAAAACAATCTATAACGCTGAGAATTTTCAAGAATGTTATCTACAATTGGCTTCATTTTGTTTTGGAAAAATTTCACTCACATATATAAATATTAGGAAAACAAAAACATGAATTGTGACCAACGTCTACTTTATGTTACGTGATTCAAGTTCGCAATAGATGTTTACAATAGATTTGCTAGTTATTTTTCTATGTGACATTTTTTAATCGATCTTCTTATTCACGTGAGCGTCTGACAAAAATCTGTTTTTGCGCCCGAACTTTCAAATTTATGATAACTAAATTGTATTGAAGATACTCGAATACAAACATCTAAAGGACTCCGTCATTGAAAAAAAATCAATTACGTTTACAATACTCACCGATCGTTTATAATTTATTCATCAAATTTTTCATTTCTTTTCAATAGAAAGAAAAACAGATGAATAAATTTTAACGCTTTCAGTGTATGAAGTATCGCATTCAAACTTGAATTCGTTTCTTCTAAATGCTAAATTATTTCTGAGTAGTATTGTACAGTGCAATTGAATAATTGAGTATTATATTTTCTTTTAAAAGTCTTCTATTGAGTCGTTCTGAATTATTCTACGTGCGAAATCCTATATTGATACCTTAGCTTAGTAATTGTTTCGACGATCCTATAAGAATCGAATAGAACTGTAGAAAATAAAAATGCAAAGGCACAAGAGAAATGATTTAAGAAACTCAATTTAAAAAAAGCTAGACAAACACTACTTGTTTTGTATCAAAACTCAAAGAATGATTTATCTATGGAATAAAACTAAAAACTGGTCGACTAGTAAGGCCTTAATAAACTAAAAGAATTTCAAGTATTTTTCATCATCATAACCAGAGACAAAACGCTTTCACAGTGCACACTTCAAATTTGTAATGTTGTTCAACGTCCTTTTCATTTGAAACAGGATCAAGCATAGTTGTACAATGCGTCTGAATATTCTCTCTCTTGCTTATGACATAAAAGCATGAAAGCATAAACACAGGAGTGTTTGCAAGTTTGTCTCTCTATTGTCATATTTTCTTCATGTAAATTCGGAAATTTTCTTTTTTCGCGAAAAGGTGACGTTCTCTCACTGTTTTAACCGTACTCAATATCTTTCGTAATGTATAAAATACAACAAGTGTTTAAAAGTAGAGACATGATTATGACTGGGCGGTGATTCGACCTATATTTCCTCTATTTTCGAAAACGTCATATTTTTGCTATTGCCCTTAGACGAAAAAAACCTTTTTAATGGGTATAATCATGTGTTTTGGATAAATTCTTGTATGATAGTGACATTTGTTTTAAATAGTATTTTTCCTTTCGCCTATTTAGTGAACTGATTGAGAAATTGTTTTAATACTAAGTGCAAAATACAAAATGGTTCAAAAGAAAAAAACATTCACAAAATGATCATTCACTAGTTTCGGGTTTTTAGTGAAGTTTTAGTTAGATATAAAGGCTGTATATATACCCCTGGAAAAAATAAGTTTCACTCTGTACTTTGAGGATACTGTTACCAAAAGAACATATCATTTTTAAAGTAACGACATCTTCTGAAAGCTCGTAAAATTTTACACCATCCTGTCTATATGCATTTTCATTTACATTTATTTATTACCAGAAAAAATTGAGTTATGATAACATACAAAATAAACTTGTGGAAAATAATAAGCAATGACTGCTGATTATCAGGACAGTAAAATTAGGTTGAGACTTTTTGAGAAATCATGTCCGTAATCTGAAACATCTCCTTTAATTTATGAGAATAGTATTTGTCTTTTTCATGTATTTGTTTTCTCAAAGCTTATGATCTACTTTATTGTTATTTATCGATTTGAGAAAACTTTTATAATGATCCTCGAATTAGTGACTTATTTCAGTAGAAAAAATTACGTAAAGATCTTGGCTACGGTTGAACTGTTTATAACAGCTTCATTAAAACGATTTTCGAGCAGAGCAGTGAAAAAAACAGCAAAACAATTCAACAGAAACTATGTATAAAACATCCTATATTTTTGACAACCTTGATCCTCTAAGGGTTCCTACTTTTTTAAAAAAGTGCAATCGGAGGCCAGGATTATGTGGAGTGTGATTTTTGTTTTCTTTTCATCCATAATCACACCTAGTACTGTGTCATATTCTAGCAATGATCGATGTTGAATTTAATAGTTACATTTCATTTCTCATATATGATTCGTGAATATTTCATCAGAAGATAATTGTTCCCTATAAAGATATTGTGTTGTATTATATTCTTTGATGAATGTGGAATCCATGTACGTGATTTCTTGACCTGTACTTTTGCTTACTACATCAATTATTTACAATAGGATAAATCTTTGTTATTGCTCATTCGCTTACCTTGACATCCATTCATAAAGTTGAAGTAAAAATAATAATAAAACAAGTTTTATTATTTAATTTCAAAAATTCTTCTAGAAATAGATTCACATGCAAAACTATTTCAAACATTTAACATAATCATATTAGCAAAATTTATTTTTTCTGCGTGTAGATATTCGAAAGTAATAGAACTTTTTGACTAGTCTATTTAAAGCGTATCTATTGAAATAGATTTTGTTTTGTTTTATTATTGTTATGTAGTAAAAGATTTTGTAGAATATTTTATTCACCTGTTTTCTTTTCTTCCTTTGCAAATCATGTCTACATTAGAATATTACCATGTGCATAACATAATTGCAACGTAGTGAACTGCTGACCGAGAAAAGAAAAAGAAATTCCTAATTACAACTTACTAGAAAGAAAGAAAGAAAGAAAGAAAGAAAGGCAGAAAGAAAAAACGTTTTCCTGCTTTCAGTAGGAGAAGAAAAACATCGTCATTCCAACTTTTTACGTTCCCTTCGTCTACAATGTCATCTTCGTCAACCAACATCTTGTTGATTTTATTTCATCTTGTTATTTTACTATTCGCTATATCGGATCTTAAACTATTTATTTTTCATGTTCATATTTCACGTGTTGATCGTGTGCCTGTAGAAATTTATATTGATTCATCTACATCATTATGGTATCCGATTTTAGTTGGAATTATTTTCAATATTTTTATATTGATATCATCAATAATAAATTTATATATTCTTTTATGTCAACGAAATTTATTCAATAAACTCGGCTTGTCAACTTTGATTTTAATATGCTTATTTTCAATACGTTTTATAATAAATATAATTCTAACGAAATATCGAAACGGGCTTTCGACACCAACACTTGTTGAACGATCATTTTTTGCTGCTTCATTATCATTAGAAGAAGAGCTTACTACAATTGTTTTGAATTGGCTCATTAAAATGATTGGATTTGTGTGCACAATAATATACTGTTTTAAACAAAAATGCAAGCAAACAAGCTGCATTGAAAGACTATTGGAAACAAAATTAATTTCAAGTTTTGAATAAAACTAGAATCGAATCTTTAGACACCATTTTCCAAACATGATGAGAGCTGTTGTTGTGTTGTTTTTTGTGCGCTTTAATTACTATAGCGATTATCTGCAGGCATCCAGTTGTATGATAGCAAATATTGTACCTAGTGATCATTAGTTTGACAAGTTGTCTGTTTCTTGATTCGTTTTACTTTGCTTTTAAATCGAATATCTCAATGAATTTTTTTCCTAGTATCATATTTATAAGCAATATGTGGCGTTCTTGATTTGAAATAATAAAAATAAATGAGGAAACATCGGATTCACATCCGATTGTTATGTGTACTGCAAAAACTGAGTCGATTTATATATGTTGTGAATAATTCTGAGAAAAAATCCCTGTCCCCCACAGGGATGGTTTGGTCAATAATGACAATTTTTTCGATAACTCAGCCATTTCTTGACGGATCCTTCTCATCTTCGAACTCGACTGAGATATTAATGAGATCATTATGTGCACAAAATTTCATGACAATTGGATGAGGCTTTCAAAGGTTATCGTGTTAGCGGCCGGACACACTGACCGAATCTAGTGTACTCACTTTTTTTGAGTACACAAAAACAACAACAATTACATGCCAATAGGATTTTGGAAACAGCTCTTCAGGCAAATTTGCACTAAAAACTAGACTCCTAAAAGAAATATATTCGTATATAGTTTATTTGGTAGATAATTATGATGCTTCGTCCTGTCAGACAGATTAAAATTCAGTGTTTCCTACAAAGGAGAAAAAGCAAGATTCTTCTACTCCGCTGTGCTTTCGGGCTATGCCGAAGGTATTGTTGAGTTTTTTTCAATACTCATAAGTCTATATTCTATGTAGTTCGGAAGTACAGAAGTCTCGCATTTTCTTCTCTTGTTTTGCTATTCATTTTGATCTTTGTTTTCTATCGCCATGCCATCGAGAATCAATATCTCGTTAAAAAGAACAGACTATACAACTGAAGAGAATTTTCTTTGCTAAAATGATCCACCCTGTAAATCAAAACATTTTATTGATATGACTTTAACAGCTATGTGTTAGTGTGTCAATTTTTGATTTACTTGTTTTATTGGAAACAATAGTTAGTATTATTCTTTTCTCCAGATTTTATTCATTGAAGCGCATGACTTTACATATGAATAGATTCAGTTATCAACTAGAGGCTACAGCAACCGGATTCGGACCAGTAAAATTATCATGATATTCTCCTTGTTCTTCTTAGGACATTCATCGATATTACATCTTATTCAGTATTCGTAACTGAATTTTCTGTTCGAAGTATTCGTCAAATATTTACAATAGAAAAAAAGAAACATATGATGACTCAGTGCTATTTATTGATCGAGGTCAACTTTAAGCTTATTATTGACCATTCGATAAGTTTCAATGTTGTATTTTCTAGTAATACGGAAATTGTTTTTAACTGAAACTTATATTGTAAGAAAGAAAACCAATTGTTTGCTTGAGCACCGTACTTGAACCACGGATTGAATAATTATATAATGGTCATTTTGAATATTGATGGGTAGTATTTATTGATAATATACAAAAGTTCAATTGTATTACTATTTACCTCGTACAAGATACAAATACAATGATATGTAATTCAGTTCTACTTTGATCAAATAAAGATATTTAACAATTTTTTCTATGTTATTTACTCAAGTTTATAGTAGATTTATATTTTATCCAAATTTACATAGGTGAAGAATTCTTCCATCAAATAGTTCTATGTTTTGATTGTTTCTAAAAGATTAGTACTGGTTTTCTCGATGTTATTTATGTTACTTTATGATATTTTCTATTTTAGCATATTTTATTGATTTCCGTCGTAGTTTGCTGATCATCAATACAAATTGGCCATATTATATAAATATATAAATTATAATAATTTGCAGTATTACAATATTGTGTCTAGTTTTGATCGTTTACTTTGGTCTCTTGTTATTGAATGGTTACTTATATTTTACGCATGGATACTTGAGATAAAAGATTTATTCTCGTCAGATCAATTTAATCGTTTTTTTTTTATAAGGCTACATTTGATTTATTGTTATAGTGATTGCTTTTACTTTTACTGAAAGTCTATTTTTATTATTGAGAAAAATTAATTTAAACATTCAACATATTTTTACGTATGAGACAATAAGATGTTAATCATTCCTGTGAGACCCGTTAGTGACGAGCTTCTGAATTCGTTAATACAACAAAAGTCCGTTGCTAAACGGGTGTCTAAAGAATGAATAGTTGTACACCATCATCATGACTAGTGTCACTTCTGATATTATCATTTACTTACTTGAATAAAATTACAACTCTTTCCTTTTTTTTCTTCTTCTTCTACTTCTGTCATTTCGGGTCCGATCGATTAGTGATGAATTGTGCTTCTGTATTGTCGATTTATGTTGGTAAGACTTATACTCGGCACACACGTTCACATCAAATATTCACTTTGTATAATGGGCACAAAAAGAAAGAGAGCGATCGTTTTTTAAAGAAGAGAGAGAGAGAGAGAGAGAGAGAGGGAATAAGTGAGATTCGATCTGTCTCGGGAATGGTCGACAGCTGATCTCTCGTCTAGATATGTGTGTCGAGTAAAAAAATTAACTTGTACGGTCTTGCTTTTTTTCTTCTTTTTTTACTTCTATCTTGAATCACTCAATCAGGCAATCGAATTATAAGGTATGGTGGCGGCAGCGACAATCACCACACGTACAAATCGTTCTAACAGACATGTGAATGCATCGACAATTAGATGCAATGAATGAATCAGTAAGAAAAAGAAAAAAAGAATCAATGAATGAATGTATGATGTGCAATTGACTATGGAAGAATGAGTTTAGTAAAGTAAGAAGAAAAGAAAAACATGACTATATACAGCTGGTGCCAGACATTACATTCAAATGCTTATAGTTTCACATACAACATCCGGTTTCATATTATTGAAGAGAAGAATATATAATAATAGTTGATGATCAACGAATGTTGGAAAAATTTTCAATCGATTGTTATGCTTCATTGACTTTAAATTATATAGAGCAGTACCAGAATACTTCATTAAATAGCTTATCTCTAGCACGAACTAGCTTTTTATTTGTCAGTTCCATATCGAATAGTAAGAGTTGAGACGTTAACCGAAAGACTTTATCACTTTCTCTTTTCTTGTTGATTGTCACTATAAGTTTTGCTTCATCATATATTATGAAATAGAATTAAGTTACAATCAGAGGCCTAGAATGTTGAAAAAAATTGTTAAATCATTCTTGCAAATGACAACATAAAGTCAAATTTACGACTAAATTATGCATCATTGCTCATGTCCGGGAAAACAGTCACAACGGTCATAAAAAATATAAAATAGTGAAAGTTATAGAAGAATCAATGACGGTTTGTCAAGGAAATAACATATTGATGGAGTACCGAGAAATATGAGGAAAATGAATGCAGTCATATGAACTTTTTACGACTGCTTAAAATTGTTTGAGGCACAGTGTTAAAAATATGAGACTTCAGCTCAGTAAATATTCGATATATTTGCTCTGACTATTTACAATTATTTTAATAATTTTCCATTCGAAATAATCTGGCACATGTTTATTAACATCTAGCTGAAGATTTTCAAAACGAAATGTTTGCATTTAATCACAACGATGGGACTGTCTCCAATGGCTACTTTAGCACTGTTTCACACTGCTTGAATAATTAATTTCATTTTTTGTCTTGATTTACAGACGAACCAAGTCATGATTGCTCTTTGATCGCTTGTCGACCTTCATAGCATAATTTTAATCCTATAGTAATTGTATTTTAAAAAGTAACTTCACTTTTTAACAAAAACGATACAATCTATCATTAGTCCATCTCTGTTGAATGTTTAGTACAACATGCAGAGATATACTGAAGTTTCGCTTATTATTGTATGGATCTTTTTCAAATGATCGTGACTAATGATCATGGACTGTAGATTTTTGTGTCACATTTTAAGTGCTACGCGTTCATATTACATTTAAATTTTGCGTCTGTTATATGTCGAAATATTATGTATTTTACTTTCATCACCGTCATCATCTACTGGTATGACGTACTTTATTTATGCATTCTTTTTTTTTCCATTGCTCGGATATTCACATCAATATCAATCGATCCTAAACATTTATCCAATTCTATCAAGATAAAAAACAGAATCATCTTGTAGTCATAAATAGGAAAATGTTTAGAACAATTCATCATTGGTATGATGCAACGAATGATGAAATTTCGAATCGTCCTAGATATAAATCTACGCATAAGCGTACACAAGTACACTGGAATAAAATTCTTCTGGCTATTCTCAGAATAAATCCAGCAGTACTTTGTGAATATATTCAACACAAAATGTACTTGCTATGCATTTGCGAGTTCTATAATAATCCTATATTATTGAAAGAAAAAAGATCAACCGTTCATAAAGGACGAACAAGTAAAAAGATTTTTAATTTGTTCAATGTTCAAAAAAGTTCTCTGTTCGATTATGTGTTCTGCTTCTAACCCCGGCATTGACATCATTATATTACTAAAATCTATCTTTATCTTCTCTCTTTGTACTCTTGTATGGGTTTGATTAAGAATCGTCTTTATGTATTTGCTATTGCGTTCTTTTTTGTACTCAAAAATCTCACTTTCATGTTGCCGTGCAAATCAACATAAATCACTTTTGTGAAACACGATCTGAAAGGAGTGTTGAAGTATATAGAGTAGAAGTTTGGNATATCAGCAAATTTATGACCTACTTGCATTCTTCATTTGTAGGTGATGCATTAAAGTGTAATGAAAGAAAAAGTTCAGAAATATATAGAATAATTTTGTTTTTCTGGTCAGAATTAACAGTTAGATCGTGTTTCACATTTTAATCCCAAAGGGATTGCGCTAACAGCTTTTTACTGTAGTTTTGCCTATTATGGGTTAATTCAAATTCATCTATGTGTCATGTTATTGTACGAGTAAAATATATATGTTTTTTCTTTTTTTTCTGTCACAGGGGCGAGGTTGTCCATGGCAAAGAAGCGTGAGGACCGGCCATACACTTCATTTATTAAATAAAGTATCATTATATATATATATATATACCCAAGTCGATGATTCCGGAGGACGGATACCCTTGGAACCGACCGGAAAGATGTGGAAAAATCACCGTACCTCTACTTTTACTACATTTGTTGTATCCTAATGAAATTGACTTTATTAGAAGATATTTATAAAAACTAAATCAACTAGAGTATATAGAATTTCATATTATTGTAATATTATAGTTAACTTCTATTCTCAAATTAGGCGTTCATCTCTATGTTTAAACTCAGATTATTTATGCTAATGATCAATTCGATCTGTTTGTTTGTTACTGTATTTAATTTTCGTCGGCGATTTAAAGTTTTTTCAGTCGTAATCTATTTCTAAACTTAAATATGAAATCTTGTACATATGAATGCTTAACTAGCGCTAGCAAACATTCAATAAATATGCAAACACTATAATGTTTTGATATTTTCGAAACTACCATCAAACGCCATGTGAAATATGATTTATCTTCTAAATAAAATAAAACGGTTACTCATGGAGTCCGTTTGTTAATGAAATACCAAAGTCTGCATACTCTCAATATAAAGTATTCGGCACAAGTGAAAAATAGACTATGAAAAGAAACAAAATATTTCATTATAAATAGAGATCTTCATTTTAGAGATACGATTCATTTCTTTTTCGTTAATGTTAACTTTCGTACAAACATAATTTCTTTTTTTTCTCATCTACACCTGAATAAAGAAAGTATTGATGAGAATAATGTTGTTTTAAGCGAACAAATAAATTCGAACTAATAAAAGGTCAAGACGGCGAAGTTTTCAATAAATTTCAGATTCCATTTTCAGAATCTCAAGATATTAAGACATGCTATAGCATAAATATTCGCGCTACGATGTGTATTTTTTTACTTGGAATATTTCAAATTAATCGAAATGAATCAAAATTGAAATTAAAAATGGTTCTAACACATACGGTTTAAAGATTTCTCACTTTTATAAAATTTCTGTAGACAGAATTGTTGTATAAAATCTTTGCAATACTAACAAGCCGTGTAAAATGATAAAATAAGGCTCATTATAACTAAATTCTATTTTTTTAATCATTTTGTGTTCTCACAAAATTTTCTCAACTCTGAAAATTATTGAGACCGACTTTCTCTACAAAGTCTATTATGATAGTTCATTTATAAAAGCATGATAAAGAATGTATTAAATAAAAATTTCAATTAGATGCTTTAACTTATAGGCTGACATTATAGGAAAAATACAATTGAAACCGTGTAATTGTGAAAAGTACTTTCATCACGTTCTGTCAAAATTATGATATAAGAATACTTTCATTTTTTTTTTAATTTGAAAGTAGATAACCTGTCTAATTTAGAAAAAACATAATTAGTTTCTTTTATAAAAGAAAATTTGATTTTATTAATTGATATTTTGAAAATGTAACTGCTAGAATATTGACAAGCAACGATCATCTGAAATATTTATTTATAAACGCAATAGCATATTTCTTTCTTTTTTTCACACTGGATGACTCAACGTCACACCGTCTCGTGTTAGAAACCAATAATAGGAATGAAATATTTTTCATAATCTTTCACGCGTACTCTAAGGTTTTGAAGAGTCAACCACAAAGATTTTCAATCAAAACTAGAAATGAACAATCAATTGTTAGAATCGAAAAATCAATTTTATTTATGTGCTAACAAAAATGCTCTACATGATATCACTCATTATGTATTTTGAGTAGCAGGAGGTATAAATTGTGGTAGTACAATAGTTGGATGGAATATTGTAAATGAAGGATTGTAGTAATTTCCATATAGAAAAGTTGGCTGAGAAGAATAATTATAATTAAAACCATTTGGATGACCATTATATATAATAGGAGTTTGCATCACAATTATTTCGAATGGACGAGCTCCAGGTGGAGGATGAGAAAATCCTTTGGGATGTTTCGGGTCTTCACTGTTTGGCATCCGTGTAACTATAGGACAATATTCGTAATAAAGAGAAATCAATCGAGCATAGCTGTATTTATATTTTTGCTTAACGAGTTTACTTTGTAAGTAAGAAATGCATGAAGGAAAAATAAATGTTTTTCTTTCTATAATGATGCGTAGGCAATTATGTTTTATAATATTGTAAATTACAAGCAAATGAATCAAATAAAACGAACTTTATCGAAAATGCTTTGCTACCCTGCGCCCATTGGAGGCAAATAAGAGAGCCATTGTTGGATGCTCCATATAAGGTGGCGAGAATATGTAAGCCATTTCTCGAAATGGAGAAGAAGCAGGTTCTACTCTATGTCTCGAAGAACCCCAACCACTACCACCACCATGAACAAATTGCAACGCAGCCTCTTCCGAGCTGACATCAGGAACTCCATTCCTTTGATTTTGATATCGTCTAATATTTTGAGCGACTTCCAGATAATGAAGGCCTGTTCTTTGACCCATACCAGTTGGTCTTCGCTGCATTATTGTGCTTCTTTGAATTCAATATGCAAAATATGGCAAGATATAATATCTCGTTTGATTTTATACGACGCATTCGTCCGTAAATACATGATTTTTTTTATGTCACATTTAATGAGTATACAATACCTGTATTGCAATCATTGGACAACTAGGGAGTGCTTTTGGAAATCACGGGTTTCAATAGTGATTAACCAGGGCTTGCATCCTATGTCTTTATCATGTGAGTATCAGTCGTGTCAAACTTGAAACTTAAGGTTCAAGTTTGA